ATATCTGCAAAAAAACAAAACAAAAAAACAACCAAGCTCAGAGAGCACCAAGCACCCCTCACCTTATATTTCATATTGAAATAAGAAAAGTCTTGAGTGCTTCTATAATATTTAAAAAAATGTTAAAAGCCAAGTTAATAAGATCTTTGAATATAATTTGAATATAGTCCAAAACTGATGGCTTAGGGCATAAATCTATCAGCGATCCCTCTTTTTTGGTTTCTTACTACAGGTAGTGCTTGTTTAGTGACAAAAATATGGACAGTAAGCAAAGCTCTAGCAGTCACAAATTTGCTTTGCTTATATTCTTGTTTCAGCTTTCATTTGCTTTACAGTACGTGAAGGTCACAAATGTGAGGATTGGTTGTAAAGTTACTTTTTGTGTAACTACGCATGGTCGCTGTATGAGATAGTTGCTAATTGAGAACTACCTGTACTACCTTTTGGGATTATTTTTCATTTCCCAGTCCAGCTCAAAGATTTCCTTGTAGTTCCCCACCCAACCACTCCTCAGAAAGATTGTTCACTTCTGCGATAAAGCAACAAATATTATATACTGTAAGCAGGGCTGTGGAGTCGGGAGATAAATGTTCCGACTCCGACTCCGACTCCTCAGTTTTTTGTACTTCCGACTCTGACTCCGACTCCAGGTACCCAAAATTTCCTCCGACTCCGACTCCGACTCCACAGCACTGACTGTTAGTAGTTAGTTCTCCTTTACACTGACAAAACTCCAATATCGTAATTTGTTGTTAGTTGCGAAGTTGTGTCCAACCCATCACAACCCCATGGATAACGTTCCTCCAGGCCTTCCTGTCCTCTACCATCCTCTGGAGTCCATTTAAACTCATGCCATCTGCTTCAGTGACTATCTAGCCACCTCATTTCTCTGCCATCCCTTTCTTTTTTTGCCCTCAATCTTTCCCAGCATTAGGCTCTTCTCCAGTGAGTCCTTCCTTCTCATTAGGTGGCCAAAGTATTTGAGTTTCATCTTCAGGATCTGGCCTTCTAAAGAGCAGTCAGGATTGATCTCCTCTAGGACTGACCAGTTTGATTGCCTTGCAGTCCAAGGGACTCTCAGGAGTCTTCTCCAGCACCAGAGTTCAAAGACCTCAATTCTTTGGCACTCAGCCTTTCTTATGGTCCAACTTTCACAGCCATATATTGCAACTGGAAAAACCATAGCCTTGACTATATGCACTTTTGTTGGGAGGATGATGTCTCTGCTTTTTAGTATGTTTTTAGTATGTTTTTTAGTATGCTTTTTAGTCTAGATTTGCCATAGCTTTCCTCCCCAGGAGCAAGCATCTTTTAATTTCCTGGCTGCAGTCCCCATCTGCGGTGATCTTGGAGCCCAATATCATAATAGAAACCATATTTGACTTCAACCTGAACAGTACAGTACAGGAAACCTAGCTGGTTAACAAGTAGACCAAAATCTTTGTGTTAACCAAAGCCCCCCTCATCATCTAGTACATTTAAAATTCTCATTCCAAACAGTGCATGAATATTTAACTGCCATTAATATTTTATTTTCAAAAAGGGAGAGAGCTGAATAAAAGTCAGCTGAAGGAACGCTACCATAATTCCATTAAACGTGGACTTTCCAGAATTCATTCTGGGCCATGACAAAATCAACGGTGGCCTGCACTTTTTTTCTTTTTAGATTTTTTTGGGTCCAGCTTTATTATTTTTACAAATCAGTCAAGATGGCGAACATACCTAAATATTCCTCCTTCCTTCTATTTTCCCCATAACAACCACCTTTTGTGAAGTGAGTTAAGCTGAGAGAGTGACTGATCCAAAGTCATCCATCCAGTTTAAGAGAACTGAACAACCACCCACATCTTGGCTGTATTCACAGATAATGCACAACCAGATAAGTAACCTGTTCTATGGTTTTGCTGAAAACCACAAAACAGGTACAACTGAAGTGACCTGTTTTATGGTTTTGCACAAAACAGGTAGTCCTTGTTTAGTGACTGCCTTGTACAGCAACCATTTGCAGTTACAATAGCGATGAAAAAGTCACTCTCTGCAGTTTTGTAAAGCAAAGGAAAGCTGAAGATTGTAAAATTGCGTTTCACTTAGCAAGCACTTCACCTAATGACCAAGCCTCTGGTCCCAATTGTGGTCACTAAATGAGGATTACATGTACACTGATTCCAAACTAACCAAGGAAGGCAGCTTCACACATCACAATAAGCTAAGGCTAGGTGCTAAGGATGCAGACTCCCCTATGCACAATTGCTGACTTACCAGTATCTCTGTTGCTATTACAAGAAATAAAATATTGGGAGAGACAGACGAATAGGATTTGAACCTGACATAAAATGCAGATCTGCAGAGAAGGATGAAAAACAAGAAAGCTATCAGACCAGATCTGGACAACAGCTACCAGAGAAAAGAGGTCACAAGGAAACAATTCATCAAGATCAAACCAGGACCAAAGGACAGCAACCAGAGAAAAGAAAGTTAAGAGTTAATTTCCTAGGCAGTGGGTAAAGTTAGACTGGGCAATTTAACAGGTGAGCAAAAGGTTGATGTGGAAAGGAAAGTGTGACAGAGGTTGCGGGCAAAGGATGAAAGGACAACCTTTTGATAAAGACTCCCAATTCATGCATGCAATTATCTACAAAACACTCTGATCTTCTCTAGTCCCTGTACGGCCATCGTACAACAGTGAGTATAAGTGGGTGTATGTGTAATAACTTCAGCAACAGTAATTAAGCTTGTGTAGGTTGAGATTCCCCACAAGCTGTGTGTTCCATGAACATTTTCTTTTGCTGCATATGATGCCTGAACTCCTGTTGTCGTTAGTTGCGAAGTTGTATCTGATCCATTGCAACCCCATGGACAACGTTTCTCCAGACCTTCCTGTCCTCTACCATCCTCTGGAGTCCATTTAAACTCACACCTACTGCTTCGGTGACTCCATCCAGCCACCTCATTCTCAGTCGTCTCCTTTTTCTTTTGCCCTCAATCTTTCCCAACATTAGGCTCCTGTATGTATCTCCAATTAAATGTCTGTGAGCCTATATACTAATAAATCATATTTCACTACCACCCACTCCCTGCCCCGGCTATGTGCCACAAAGACTCGGCCACACATATCTGCTTCCTGGATTAGGTGGAAAGCAAGGATAGTGGAAGCCACCCATGGCTGAGAGCAATGCCAGGTAGAACAAGAAACCAAGCCATTTTCTTGCAAGAGAAAAGAAACAGCACAAGCCAAACTAAGTTGGTTGTGACTGCTGCCTGTGAAGGAAGAGGTTTCCCCACCACTTGGTTTTGCTTCCTTATTGGCTTCCCTAAAGGAAAAATGCTGTTTTCTTAAGTGTGCCACAGAGGAATAAAAACTAGCTGGTTGCTTCTCACTTAGTCAGATTTCTGACTCAAGGATACAGAGAAGGGAGGGGAGACGGGCAGCCAAGGAAACCCAATTTACTACAAATCTCAACATTTTAGATGGAGGTATCAAAAGCTAACTTTCCACTAATGGGAAGTGATGTTTCTTGCATTCTTAGGGGTTCACTGTTATTACCTGTTTTTAACATCCAGCTGCATTTACTCCTCCCCCATCCCCAGAAATGTAATTGCAAATTAAATAGTCTGCCTGTGAGGTACTATGGGGTGCTGGTTGTAGGCATATTTCTAAGCCCTATTTAAACCACTTTTTGTAACACCAAAAGCAGGTGGTACACAATCCTTAAGGGGAGGAATTGTATGTGGCTTTGAGTGACGAGAGCAACTTAAAAGCAGAGGATAAAACACACATTCGTTTACTTAAAATTTAACAGTTGAGGATATATAACCCCTGATATTTAACATTGCCCTTTTGGCTCATACACAAATATCATTTTCTTCCTCAGCACCCTTGGGGATTGTGACAATTATATACATTGCTAATAAATTAACTGGCTTTGGGAGGAAACCAGAATGCCCCAAAGGAACTGAGGAGCTACATGTCACTTTTGCAGGTTGCAGCCCCCCTTTTTAAAACCTTGTTGAACAAGTTATACCACTTCCATCCATATCAGTCTGCCAGCATTTGTTGCCTACTACCAAGTGCAACTATTTGGGCAGGTGCAAAGTAAGAGGGTCCTTTGTGCAGTTTCCCCAGAAGTCTAGAACTGTATTTTTTAATCTTGGCAACTTTTAAGATGTGTGAACTTCAACTCCCAGAATTCCCAGCCAGCACCGCTTTAAAAACACCGCTCTAGAATGTGTTATGACCTCAACGTACCACCATAGTTGGGACCAGAATTTCCACTGATAAGCAAGGTGGCTGATTTTACCTTTTCTGGCACAGTTGTTAAAGCAAATCACTGCAGCTGTTAATGAAACACAGTCATTAAGCAAATCCATCTTCCCCCATTGACTTTGCTTGTAGAAATAGGAAGTCACAAATGTTGATCCCCTGACCCCAGGGACACTGCAATTGTCATAAATACATGTCAGTTACCAAGTGTCCAAATTCTAATCACATTGTGAGGATTGGTCAAAAACTTTGTTCCCCAATGCGTTATAACTTCAAACAATCAATAAATAAACGGTTCTAAACTGAGGACTACCTGTACCAATGAGGTTCTTTGAGTCTCCCAGCTACAGGCCTCTTAAGAAAATCCCCCAAAGGAGACTAATTTTCTCTGAACCTAAAGCGACCCATGGGCCTTGTAGGACATGCAGATTCTATAAAATAATTTATCACCTTTAAACACATAATGAAATGAATGGTGTAGAAAAGTCAACCTGACACCATTCAGGAAGAGTGACCTTGGTTCTTTCTTATTAGATTACAGAAAAAAAGTAACACTCAATTTTGTAATTGAAAGTGAGGTCCCTTTTTTGCCCCCAAGAGTAATAAGGTATAATTAAAGATAATCTGATACTATTAGCAGTTACAGGCTTTTCAGGCTTTAAAAGATTTGTGACTAAACTTGAACCATCAATGAAACATAAAAAATTGTAAATCAAGATTTCTGTTGACTAATAATGAGTTATGTTGTACATGGTTTATTTCTGTTGACAGCAATTTAACAGTGGTAGCTATAATGATGCCTTTTTGGAGTGAAATATATACCTGGAAAATCTGAATTAGCACCTAGAGTGTCAAAACAACGAGGCCAAGAAACAAAGCTCTGAAAATTGAAAAAACTGATCAACGTGGACTTTCTGCAGCCAAAGGAACAGCTTGTTTACTTCACTTCCACAAATTTAATTGAGGAAGGGAAAAGAATATAAATATTTAGCCTTTTAAGAAACTCAGACATTAGCTGAGTTGCAAACTGAAAGCTGATATGCTTTTTAAAGCAGGTATACACAAAACAGGTCACAGTCTTGGTCTGACCTTATTGCAAAAACAGATAAATACCTGTACAGCTAAAATGTGATAAAGATGGCTTTTTCATATGTTGCCCAAAAACACGGTTTGGAATGGAACACTTTGGAATCCCATGTTTCCCAGAAGTACAAAACAAGACTCAAAGAATTGAGAAGACCTTAAGAAAAAGAGTTGATATTTTAAAAGTGTTCTAATATTAAAAACAGATAACATTGCAAAGAAGGGTTTTTTTTTTCTTTCTCTTGAATTATGAAGTTTGTTTGAGACTTAGTGATAATCAGGATATCAAAGATGTTGAATGCACACACAAGTCCCAGATATTTAGGATGACTTTAGCAAATTGGGAGTGGGGGGGGGGGGGGGAACGGGACTGCATTTAAACTATATCCTTCAGGGAAATGCTTAATATAGTTTCACATAACTCAACCTGGCCTTTCAAAGAATCCCAGCTCTGCCAAGTTAAAGTGGAGCTTTACCTTAATTTGTAAAGTTAAAAGTTAAAAAAGCATCACCCATCAACAAATTCAGCATTCCCTAACTTGGTCCCCCCCACCCCCAAATCTCCTGGACTACAGTCTATCATTCCAACATGTGTATCTTGCTCAGGAAAAAAACTACTATAGTCTTAACATGCTGGGGAAGGCTAACTAGTTCATCCAGTTTGGCAAATTCTTGCATCCACACAGCCATGCTAGGTCTTTGGCCAAAGAGAGAAGATTCTGACTGGCTGGATCATCACAATACTAAGAATACTGAAAAGGTTGGAGGGGAAGAAAAGGCAGCCATTCACAGTGATATGTTGATGAGTTAGGGAAGGGAGAGAGGGACTGTGGAGATATCACCAATGGGCTTCATCTTCAGCACAGCACTGAAAGAGTTGGGAAAGCAATGGGTCCCTCTTGAAGGAGACAGCTATTCCAGCCATCATAGCAATCAAGACAAATCCTGGAAGCTGTACTTCAGCAATATAATAATACAGATTCCTAGTTTGTTCAAATTCATATAAAAAATGTATGTAGTCCACAAAATTGCATAAGCCAGTTTACTGCCTTTAGGATTGTCCATATTTCTGTTTTCTGAATGGTCATATTTTTGACCATTTATAATTCCATGGATGAATCCATTTAAAAAATGTGATTCAGGAAAGCAATCAAACTTTCTTTTGTATACCTCATTCTTTTGATTTTTTTTTCCAGCACAAGACAGTCTCATGCCGTACTAATCATTTCTTGGAAGGCTATGCACAAGTCTACGAAGCAAATGATTTTTTAAAAAACACTAAAGCACTTTGACAGCCAGAATCATCTTGTATCATGTGATCTTTACAGCAATTCAAACTGGCTCCAGCACTTCATACATACACCCACAGGTACCATCCAATTCTGCTCTAATCTCTATCAAGGTCTAACAGTGCAATTGCTAGAGACCAGCACCGCAAAAAGGGCGCTATTCCAGGCTGAAAATTCAGATAAGAAATTATAAATATTAGGAAATGACTTTAGTCATGTTAGAACTATGTCCAAATATGTTATTTACTACAATGTAGTGTTTCCTTGATGTATCCTATTCTAGATCAAAACTATAAACCAAAAACGAGTGAAGGAATTAAAAAACCCAGTTTCCATTCTTTGCTAAATGTCATGCTATTAAGACATTGCTCAATGTTCAAACCTATTTACAATCTTAAATATTTACTTTACAACACATCTGTTTCTGAAAACAAAGTTTAAGAACCCTTTACACTTCTTTCTCAAACTCAGCATTCTTGGCAAAGTGTGATAAGCAACTCTGTTTAGGGAGTGAAGATAGCACAACCAACCACCAGTTGATTTTAAAACTTGTGCATGCTTCGAAGAAAACAATCCCCAAAGCATTCCTTAAAAATCATATTGAATTTCTGTAAAAAGGAAAGGTAAATTCATTTCAGGAACACATAAAAATTCAGCCCTCATAGTAACCAACTCTGACTAAAATAAATATCATGGAACACATCTACCAACAAAAAGTACCTTTAAAATGTGCCAATTTTAAATTTGTTTCATTTTTCTCCCCCCCTTAGCCCATCTGCCAAGCAGGAAAAAACAGAAGGAAGGAATATCTGAGTCCTGAAGCCATTCTCATCCAGCATAAACCTGAGGTTGCAGTGGAGGGGGCAGTTTGTCATTTTCAACATTTTCAGAGTCAATGGCCGCCAAGGCTGGGTTTGGGGCTTTAATCTCCAAAGGGTACTTCTCCACAATCTCCTGGACTTCCTTGGTGATCCCGTCAGTCCAATCAATAAGGTCCCTCTCGAGCTTTTTGGCCTCACTGACAATCCTCTCCTGCCTCTCATTCAGTTGTGAGAGGAGGCCAAGGTTCCTGTACATTTGGCGCATCCCCACACATACGTTGGCTGGCCAGTTCTCGGGTTCTTGCTTCTTTGGAGAGGTCTGCCCAGACATATAGCGGTCAAAGTCTTCCTGGCTCAGGTTTAAGGACTGAGCATCCAACTTCTCTATGAAGGCAACAGCGCAACACTGCAAAAGCAAGAGCATCGGTTCTTTCAGGTTGCGTACAGTTAACACATCGACTCCATTCATACGCAAACTATTTGATGTGACTCTTAAAATATGATGTAAACCTTGATAATGAAACCTTTTGCAAAAGTTTATATTACTGCTTAATAACAATAATACCAATAATAATAAATAAAGATGACTAAAAATTGCTCAATTTTTAAATATAATTAATATTTATATTTATAAATATAAATATTTATAAATATAATAAATAAATAAATAAATAACAAATAAATTTGTTTGATCAGGAGGCCTACAATCTTCATTAGAAATTTGGCTATGCATTCCCTTTCTGAAGTATATGTTACAGTATACACTACAGTTTGTATGTTCTGATACACGCAAACTTTTATTCATCTTGCAACTCGTGTGTGTGTGATAAGAGTGAGCGAAAGAGTGAGTAATGAGTATGCCTTGCTTAGACCATCATCAGCTATGGAGCAATATCGTAAACTACCCAGAGTCCATGACAATTGAAGTAATAGATAAATCAAACAAATAAATATAGAAAATGCACTGTTATTTTTTAACGCTTTCATGTCTTCACCTCCTCAAATATATACCAAACTTCCTGCTAAAGCTAGGTCTGGATTAACAAAACACAAAACTTGCTCAAAGAAACTATATTTGGGTTAATATAATGACCTGGTTAAAAACATGTTAATGTCTTGGCTGGGTTCCCATCACACAATGAATAGCTAAGTACACAACTTCACTGTAGCTCATTGTACAAACCCAATAAAAGTTTTCCTAGTTTTAATTTTAGTTCTGTGCAACAATTCAGTCATACTTGGCTTCCCATTCCTATTTGGCAAACATGGCAAGAACATTGGAATAGTTATTATTGCAGACCTTTTTTTAAAAAAAAAAAAAGTACATGTAGATTTTGTTTCTGGTATTTCAACAGCAAGAGCTAGAAAGTTGGTATTTTTCAATATATTTAATATATTAATTATCTGGATGTTAGATTTCCTTGATGTAAGTGCATCATATAGTTTCTCCATAGTGCCTCATGACTGTACGTTCAAGATCCAGAAAACATGCCAAGCACATGCTTGCTGATGTAACAATGAAGGCCACAAATAAGAACACCAAACCAGATGAGCCAAAAATTGTTAGGCGGCCAATAAATTTAAATAAATGATGATGATGATCATGATAAGTTCAGCTTCTCTTCCATTAAGAGAAAACAAGAAAAATAGGTTCGGCATCTGGCAATATATAGTTCTTCAAATTCCCCTAAAAAAAAGAGAGTCACGATTAGATACACTTACCAGGTTTGTAAAGTAATAGCCATCCTCCCCGGTCATCAGCCTGCTTGGATTGCAGAACCGAGTAATGTACTGAATGTTGGACTGCAGACGGGGTGGGTTGCCCTTCAGGACAATATAGATGAGAGTGGGCAAAAAGTCATCAGCTGAAGCTGGCTCAGCCTTTGTGGTCCTGATGGCATTAAAGATGTGCTTGCTGCAGCTAGTGATGCAGGCCAACTTGTCCCGGGGGACACGCTTCGAGTCCATTTCAATTATGTCTGCAAGAGGAAAACAATCCCAAGAATCAAAGAGGGCTGCATTCATTGGCAGGGCTCTTTCCACTTTAGTTGTCTTACCCTCCATAGTTAAAAGTGTTTATTAAATCTTGCATGGTATCTTTCTTTTAAAGGCTAGAAATCAGGAGACTGTGAGTTCTAGTCTCCCCTTAGGCATCAAAACTGGCTAGGTGACTTTGGATCAGTCACTCTCTTTCAGCCCATGACATTAAGTTTGGGTGACAAGCTAATTGGTTGACTCCTGCCGCAGCCAATGGATCAACATTTATTTATTTTATTTATTTGTTTAAATTTCTATACCGCCCTTCTCCAAATAGGACTCAGGGCGGTGCACAGCCTAAGTAAAAACAAAGCATACAAAATTTAAAAAACAGTATTAAAATAATTAGATATTCTGGCCGTAAATTAAAACAACCCAATTTAAAACCAATTTAAAATTTAGCTCAAGCCAGCCCAGCTAGTTGAAATAAATAAGTTTTCAGGGCCCGACGAAAAATCCGGAGGTCTGTTATTATACGTAACTCCGGGGGAAGGTTATTCCAGAGGGTGGGCGCCGTCACAGAGAAGGCTCTCCCCCTGGGGGTCGCCAGCCGACATTGTCTGGCGGACGGCACCCTGAGGAGGCCCACTCTGTGCGAGCGTACTGGCCGGTGGGAGGCTATTGATGGCAGTAGGCGGTCTCGTAAGTACCCCGGCCCTAAGCCATGGAGCGCTTTAAAGGTGGTCACCAACACCTTGAAGCGCACCCGGAAGACTACCGGGAGCCAGTGCAGCTCGCGCAGGAGAGGTGTCACATGGGAGCGCCTTGTCGCCCCCATAATCCCCCGCGCGGCCGCATTCTGGACCAGCTGGAGCCTCCGGGTGCACCCCAGGGGGAGCCCCATGTAGAGAGCGTTGCAGTAGTCCAGGCGGGAAGTGACTAGTGCCTGAGTGACTGTGCGTAGAGAGTCCCGATCTAGAAAGGGGCGCCACTGGCGTATCAGGCGAACCTGATAAAAAGCCCCCCTGGCCACGGCCGTCAAATGGTCTTCTAAAGACAGCCGTGCGTCCAGGAGGACGCCCAAGTTGCGAGCCCTCTCCGTGGGGGCGAATGATTCGCCCCCAATAGCCAGCGATGGCGTCAGCTGGCTATATCGGGACGCTGGAAGCCACAGCCACTCGGTCTTGGAGGGGTTGAGTCGGAGCCTGTTTCTCCCCATCCAGGCCCGCACGGCCTCCAGGCACTGGGACATCACTTCAAGGGCATCGTTGGGGTGGCCTGGGGTGGAGATGTACAGCTGGGTGTCATCAGCGTACTGATGGAACTCCACCCCGAAGCCACGGATGATCTCACCCAGTGGCTTTACATAAATGTTGAACAGAAGGGGCGAGAGGACCGACCCTTGTGGCACCCCACAAGCAAGGTGCCTCGGGGTCGACCGCTGCCCCCCCCGTCAACACAGATTGCGACCGGTCAGAGAGGTAGGAGGAGAACCACCGCAGAACGGTGCCCCCCACCCCCAACCCCGCCAACCGGTGCAACATGATACCATGGTCGATGGTATCAAAAGCCGCTGAGAGGTCTAACAGGACCAGGATAGAGGAGCAACCCCTATCCCGAGCCCTCCAGAGATCATCCACCAACGCGACCAATGCCGTTTCCGTGCTGTGCCCAGGTCGGAAGCCGGACTGGAGCGGGTCTAGATAGACAGTTTCATCCAGGTACCGGGGAAGCTGTTGTGCTACCACACTCTCAACAACCTTCGCAACAAAGCGAAGGTTGGAGACTGGACGATAGTTAGCCAAAACAGCCGGATCCAGAGAGGGCTTCTTGAGGAGGGGCCTCACAACCGCTTCTTTCAAAGCGGCCGGCAGGACCCCCTCACTCAAAGAAGCGTTAACAATCTTCTGGAGCCAGCCTCGTGTCACCTCCCGGGAAGCCAGTACCAACCAGGAGGGACACGGGTCCAATAAACATGTGGTCGCATTCAGCCGTCCCAGGACCCTGTCCATGTCCTCGGGAGCCACAGGATCGAACTCCCCCCAGATAACACTCTCAAGACCTGCCTCAGTCATCCCATCCGGACATACCCAGTCAGAGGCCAGCCCTTCCCGAATCTGAGCGATTTTGTCATACAGATACTGCACAAAGTCCTCAGCTCGGCCCTGCAATGCAGCTGATCTGGAAAAAAAAAAGGATCTTGCACTTGTGAGAAAATGCTAGGAAAGGAGGAGAAGAAAAAAAGCCTTATCAGTTAGCAGCCCTGCTGTACAAGAAGAAGAATGCAAGTTTTAATATTAACCAATCCACTGATAAGCCAAATTATCCAAAAATGATTTAGGCAATTCTAAATAGTTAGCTACTTAAAAGAATGACAAGTACCAGTGCTATTCTTCAAAGAGGCTTTTCTCTTACGAGGTAAGAGGAAAAGGAATGCCTTGAAAATGCTGCTGGCTGCAATATTATCATTTGTCCTTAAAATATATGTTTCTGTCCTAAAACTGTTTTATAGCATATATAAGACTCTGCAGGGGGTTCAGATGATTGACAGCTAAAAGGTACAGTTACAATCAACCAGGTTATTTATTTATGACAGTTTTGAAAGATGAACCCTCAGTTACTGTATTCAGCCTTCCATATGCAGGCAATATAAAATATTAATAATGATTTTTACGACACCGGAGTAGCACAACTAAACATCTAAGTTCAGAGAGCTGCTGAATGACAGTTTTCCAGTTGGTGAGACAAGATTGAGAATTGTTGTGAGTTATAGATAAGCCATATCTGAATGGCCATCAATTCATAATCTCAATTCTAGAATAAGATCTTTTCAAATCTCAAGCCAAAACTGGAAGGGACAGAAGGCTCAATGACCCAGATTTTTGGCCTTGGGGAAATAAATTGCTATGAAAACATGTAATGGCACAGAGTAGGCACACCATCAAAAGGAACTTATCCTACAATGAATTTTAAAGAATTCCAGGCAGTTATTCCAGTGATGAAATGAAAGATATGTAAGCAAGGAAGAGGAGAGGACAGGAAGAATTCCTTAGAAATTAGGGACACCAACTAACTAAGTCTATACAAACTGAATGGATCAAAGTATTCTTCTAAATAGTTAAGTAGCCAGTGTGAAAAATGTCCACTTTTTTAATCATTAAATTCCCCTTAAAAAGTCTTTCCTGGGTGGGGAGTATGGAGAGAGAATGAAGCAGGTAGCATTTTCATGTCATTCTGGTTCTACAGCTGTTGGATGTAGCAAACTTTACCCTTGAAATATTATTCTTACATGTTTTCATACTAGCATGTATAATGCTAAGCAGAAGAGCTAACAAACTGTAATATAGGTTTAGATTTTTATGTATGAATCAGCCACACAAGAAATGTATTATCCCATTATAGAGATAGAGATAGCTATAGATGATAGATAGATAGATAGATAGATAGATAGATAGATAGATAGATAGATAGATATTTGAGAAATCACTCCTGAACAAGATTTTCACAAGAAAAGGAATGTAGGCACCCATGGGCTAAACTCACATTCTTCTTACTTAGCCTTCTGATATGAGACAAGTTTGCTCCTGGGATTGAACTGATGATTTTTACTGTGGTGAAGACATTTGAGATCAATAAATACTCTCTCTCCAACCCAACAGTCCTTTACATACCTGTGATAGCTTTCACAACTACATCTGAGACTTCAGGGATTTCTTCATTGACAGGAACACAAAGCATTTGTGGAGTAACCCAGTGCAAAGCTCTGCCGGTTGATTTGAAAGCAAGAGGGAGGGGGGAACACTATTAAAATCTTTAAAATAGTTTAACCTGTCAAGACTAAAATAACAAAACTCTGTGCCTCAAAAATTGCATTCTGGAAAACAAAAGCAGAGAGCAAATATTTAGTTACTTAAATAATCTGCTTTTATTTCTTTATTTAATTTCTTACTGCGTACATCCTAAACCACCTGGCTCAAATCACCCAGGGTTTTTAAGAGACCAATATCAACGTCATGGGAAATCCATTCTTAGGCATGATTTTAAATACTTTTGGATGCATCCAAAACCAGTCATTTTGAAACATAATAGCAGATTTGCTTTAAGTCATCTATAGATTATGACTGGAAAAATAAAGAAACTCTGGTTTTATATATTTTGACTGACAAAACTGGAAAATCTGCAATTTGTCCTATATCCATCTGATTCAGAAAAGAGTGTTAATCCTCAATTTACAACCAGTCATTAGTGACTGTACAAAGTTACAATGGCACTGAAAAAAGTGACTTACGACTGGTCAATGGAGGAAGCTTATCTGATTACCAGATTAGTTTATTAACCTACATGATTCACTTAACAACTGTAGTGATTCGTTTAACAACCACAGCAAAGAAGGATATAAAATTGGGCACAATTCAATTAACAGCCACCCTGCTTAGTAATGGAAATTCTGGTCCCGGGTGTGGTCATAAACCACGGACTATCTATAGTTAGGGGGAAAAAAATCACTTCAGTGCCAACTGTATTGGCCTTTATGAAGCCTACAACATAAACGTTAACATTTGTGTAAAGCTTTCCTCAATCTGCTCCCATTCATCTATTCACTCTATATTAGGGAGCTCTCTTGTAATCTCCAGTGATACGTTCTTATAGGCAAAAAGGTTTTATGAATAGAAAACCTAATTACAATCACATACATTATTTTTCTTAATGTGTAACAATGCATAAAATTATAAGATCTTGTTCTTGCTCTATGCCCTTCAGATTGAATGACCGCAAAATATATATGCATATACTTTGTGTATGTAAAAGTCCAAAAGCATTCAATCCTTAAAGAGGAACCATCTGTTGCCAAAGAGCTTTCTATATGTCCTAGGCCCGTGATGACGAACCTATGGCATGCCTGCCCAAAGTGGCACGTGAAGCCATGTCACCTGGCACGTGAGACCTTGCCTGTTTGTCTTCTAGGTTTCTGGCACGCATGCGCAGCCAACGATCAGCTGTGCTTCGCGCGTGCAGCAGTGCCGAAAACCAGTGTGCTCATGCGTACCGGCCAGCTGATTGTCAGGTGCGCATGCGTACCAGAACCCGGAAGTTCGGCTTTTCCGGAGCGCAATCCATTCGTGTGCACAGCAGTGCCAAAAACCGGCCTGCGCATGCGTGCCTGTCAGCTAATCGTCGGGTGCGCATGCGCACTAGAACCCGGAAGTTTGGCTTTACTGGAGTGTGGCCCTGATGAGCGTGCACGCACATTTCTGCGTGCCCTTTTCAGCATTCGGTGCCAAAAAGGTTCACGATCACTGTCCTAGGCACTTGGTCGGTTTGGGACCAATCTATTGGGTAGAGCGGTCAGAAATTGAAAAAGATTACATTTGATAAATCAGAATACTGATTTGTCAGTATCAGAATACTGATTTATATATAATCTCTAAGTCTGTATTATTCTCCTATTTTCCTCTCTAGAAATTAATTCCCCAAGCTCTGCAATGTTTTTGAAATTACTGAAGAAAAATGTCTGGATGACTTGACTTTTCGATATTCACAGGGAAATAAATTTATTAGCTGATATTTGTCTAGGTAGGTAGTCATGAAACACGAACTCTTTACATATTTTTCAAGAATGCAACAAAAGAAAGCAATACAAAACATTATAAGAAGAGCTTTCAAGACAATATATTTCAAACTGAGTAATCCCCCAAGGTTCTTCACATATTGCTCTTTTAGAGAAAAGAAATCAGTATGACGTTCAATTGGACTCACTGCTCCCTTTGAGAAATCTAAATTATATTGGACCTTTAAATCCTTCACAAGGATACAAACATTTGCTGTTTTTCGCTGTTGTTTGTATGATGTATATATTTAACTTTATTGCACAAAACCTCAAACTGCTAATACTGCTGTAAAAGTTTTTTTCTTTATTTGAGCATAAATTTGGTTACTTCAATAAAATAATTAAGGATTGGCATGGCCTTTCTCTGAGGAGGACAATGAACTGAAATGTATTTATACAGCATAGATAAGACAGCCTAAAAACAGTAAGAGTAATATTTCCCTGTTGGCAATAGTGCAGCTTTTAAAAGTTCAACCACTTCAAAGAGAAACCTGAGAAAGGTAAGAGAAAAGCTGCTACAGCCCGAGTCACCCAGGTACAAGTAGGTAACAAATAGTAATGGATTCTGCGTCTAAAAGAGAGATATAGTCCTAAAGTCAAACCTGATTCTTCTCTGGACAGCCAGATCTTTCTTCTCATCCTCTGTGGTTTCCGGGCAGAAAACATATTTATACAAGCGGGTCATTATGTATTTCTCCACTTGATCCATCACTTTTTCCACTTTTTCTGGAGGCACTGCAAAAGACACAAAAATAAACAAATTTATCTGCCTGTTTCCCAGCAATTTGCCTCCTTGCAGCAAACAGCAAAAAAGCAGCCTGGTCAACTTCAGCACTGCCTGATTTAGCACGAGCAGCTGATAGGTGGTTGGATCTGCCTTCCAGAATACCGCATATCAGCTGTTCCAGGCTATGGGGATCGGCGCCCATCGCCACCTATCACCGCATCCATGTTCCCCATTTTCGGCCTCCACGCGTCCCGTTTTCAGCCTCCGCATGCCCCATTTTCGGCCTCTGTGTGTCCCATTTTCAGCCTCTGTGTGTTCCATTTTCGGCCCATTCCAGGCGGGCCAAAAATGGGGCACAGAGAGGCCAAAAACTGGATGTGCCAAGGCTGAAAATGGGGTGTGCAGAGGCGGTGGCAAGTAACAACTATGGCAAGAAAGGTTGTAAATGGGGTAATACCCACTTGGCAACTGTCTTGCTTAGCAAATGGAGATTTTTGGGTTCAATTGGGGTCATAAATAAGTCGAGGACTATCTTTATCTGTTCAACCCCCTTTTAATAAAAATGCAATTTAAATTCTAAACTTGGGGATTCTGGGAAGGCTGGGTACAGGACTTTTGATCCCTCTGGGTTAGCCTTCATCCACATACTGCATTGGTGAAGGATTTCTTCTTTGTAAAATAGGGATTAAAATGTATTTCCCAGCATCATCATTGAGGCAAAGGTCCCCCTCCCCAAGTCCACTCCAAGCACAGACATGAAGAAGCACATCTAAAATTGTATCCATAACAGTTATTACCCTTCTCTCTTCCAAGTTCCATAAATAAAATGGGAAAATATTAAGAACAATACCTTTCCAGCGAGTCTGTAGTTTATCTGCCACATTCTGATAGAGGCTCTGAGCATATTCAGACTGTTCCTCAACACTCAACTCCTACAAAGAGAAATCAGTCATGTGTGTGAGAATGGGCAATGCCCCAAATTTGAGATCTCATAAAATCCAAGTATTTATTACTCTGTTCATTGTCTATATGGAGGCCAGATTAAATCCAAGGTGGTAGGACCTGTTGCTCTTCCTTTTTCACTCTATAGCTGTCCTTTAGTTCAAATGAGGTCCCAATCTTAGAAATAACAAACTGAACTCTTCACAGAACCAGACAGCAAAAGGCAGACACTAGAGGTTGCATATCTTTTTCCAGATCCTTTATTTTCAGGCCAACCAGTAACTTTAGTAAGACTCTCAGAGAAGATGCGAAGTTTCACAGAGAGGATGAAAAACATTTAATATCCAGAAAGAAGGGGAGGTTATGACAAGGGCAATCAGTGCTGGGAAATATCAGAAAAAAATTGATACAAGCATTTCTCCATAAAAATGGCACACAAGAAAATCTAACCTCCAGCAACCCTCCTTCCTTCCCTTTTCTATTTATCGTATTTTTCGGAGTATCAGATGCACCTTAGTTTTTGGGGAGGAAAATAGGAAATAAAAATTCTGCCTACCAGGTATTCATCTGGCTAGCGTCCTTAGCCTGGTCAGCTTCAGCACATTAGTTTGCTCCATGGTTTTGAGGTTGGAGCTGGTTGGGACTAAAAAACAGCTTCTAAAGCACAGCTGATCATCAGAGGGAGCAGCAATTAGAAAAGCAGGCAAAGCACAGAAGATCGCTTCGCTCGCGTTGGGGCTGAAAAACAGCTTCAACAGCACAGCTGATCATCAGAGGGAGCTCCAGTGACTAAAGCAGGCAAACGTCGAAGGGAAGAGAAGGCAGCAGCTGTTTTGGTTAGCAATTTTGGGCACCGCGCATTGCATTTTCAGCCTCCAAATGTGTCACATTTTCGGGTGGTGATGTACTTTGGTGATCCCCGCAGCCTTGAAGGGCTCTCAAACGGAGCGCTTGGAAGCTGAAAACACAATGCGCAGAGTCCAAAAACACAAGCCATTGTCGGTGGCAATCTCTGCAGCCAGGAAGTGGACGCGCGGAGGCCAAAGGGTGGGAGCCAGAGGGTGGGCGGGGTTACATTTGGAGTATAAGACGCACCGAAATTTTCAGCCTCTTTTATGAGGGGAAAAAGTGTGTCTTATACTCTGAAAAATACGGTACATGCTGCCCATCTCACTATTGAGCATATCTGGGCAGCTTACAACTTTGAATTGTAAAATTTATTTAAAGAAAATAGCAAAAGTCTCCTCTCCACCCTACCAAATTTTAAAATACCATAGTGTGCTGCTCCATGTCAGCAATTTCTAAGCTATTGATCATAAGAAAAATGTATATAAGCTTACTCGTTTCATAAGTATAGCAAACACACTATCATATTTCTCAGAAGGGAAGATGACTCTATACATACTAGTAGATTAGAAAACACTTTGCCCTTTGCATTTCTGTGCTATAAACAAATCTAATATGATTATCCTATTTAAAAAGTATATTACAGGTAGCACTCAATTTATGACCATAACAGAGCCCAGAATTGCCATTGTAAGTCATGATGGTTTTAAGTTGAGCCACCCACAGGTTCAACCCAATTTTCTGCAGCAGTCATAAAGCAAATGTAACAGGAGAAGACCGGAAGCGTTGCAGTGAGACAGATGGGGAATAGCGGGCTCTAATGAGCCTTGTGAAATCCCGGGCTCTGATGAGCCTTGTGAAATCCCGGGCTCTGATGAGCCTTGATAATCCCAGGCTGACAAGCCACTGCCGAGGAGTCTTCGGACCAGATCTGTCCTGTGGGGACGGAGAAGGAGGAGAGGCACCTCGGATGACCAGGAGGAACAGGCAAGTTCCTTGGAGGTCGGAGGAAATTCTTTGACTCGGCGGTGGGGGCAGGGGCCATTGCAGCCATTATAAAGCTGGGGCAACTGGACCAAGTTTTGAGCAGGAGCAGTGATTTGAACAGAGTACTGATGCCAGGTGAGTGATTGCCAGCTCATAGGCAAAAAAGAAATTACTTTTAAAATTGTTAAAAGGTACCCCAGTGGAATAACAGCAGCTAATGGGCATAGGGGAAATGAAGGAAGAAGCATAAAGCAGAAGTTAAAAGTGGCAAAGCCTGAAACGAAACTTGTTTTTTGGACTAAAATACGTGGAGATAATTAAAAAAATTAAAAAGGAAAAAAAAACCCACAATAGGTGTGAAGAGGATTGGAAAGAATTTAAAAAGATTTTTGTTGACTGCTGAAGAAAGGACAAAGGGAAAAAAAATTAAAGGCCTGTAACAGAAGATTTCTTTAAAAAAAAAACTGGATTCGGAATTTGGATTTGGATCTTAAATTGACTTGGGGAAATATAAAATTAAGAAGAAAAAGATAAAAATTGGTAAAATTGGTAACGTGGATTTTAAACAAAATGGATACTTTCTTAGGCTGTTGATTGGAATTGTGGATTGGAGAGAGACATCTACAGGTGAAAAAAGAACATTACAACATTGAACTTTTAACACTTTTAAAGCAGTGTTTCTCAACCTTGGAAGTTTGAAGATGGGTGGACTTCAACTCCCAGAATCCCACAGGCTGGGGGATTCTGGGAGTTGAAGTCCACCCATCTTCAAGCTTCCAAGGTTGAGAAACACTGCTTTAAAGTGATAAGAGCAGTGGGAACTTTTAAGGAGGATTTGTTTGTCTGCAAGCTGTTCGACCTTCACAATCAAAGAAGGTGGATTAACAAAACTTAAAATTGGAATAACAACAACCCAGAAATAATAAAATGGCGCAGGAATTAATTGAAATTATTAAAAGGATGCGTATATCACTGAAAATGGAACTAAATGAAATAATTATAATGATGCATGGAAACCCTAAACCTGATGAACCAGAAATTACGTTAGAATACACTCAAGTGGATAAAGAAACTACGAATGAGAAGCAAGAAAGTGATACTGAAGACGAAGACAAAGACAAAGATAAAGATATTGATTATGAAAAATTAAATTACGTGGGAAGCAATAATGAAAAGGAGAGGAGAAAAGAGATAAACTTAGCAATAAAGGTGAACTTTAAAGATTACATTGGGATTAACTGAAAAAAATAGAGAGGGTGGAAAGAGACAAAGAGAGAAAAAAGGGGGAATAGAAAAAATATAAAAAACTTAAATGATTACACTTGGATTAACAGTGGGGAAATAAGAAAGAGAAAAAGGCAATGGAGAGTAATTGAAAATACAGGACAAGATAGAAGAGTTCAGGATTTTAAAATGGAGAAAAAAAGGGGGGGAGAAAGAAAAAAATAAAAAAAATGGGAGAAAGGGAGAAAGAAATAATTGATGGAAAGGGTAAAGAGAAATATGCTGTATACTTTTAGAATTTAAAATGAATTGAAGTAAGATTTATAGATATAAATGAACTTTAGAAAACTCAATAGCTGAGATTGTAAGACTTGGAATGTTTTTAATTGTAATAATGAACTAACTAAAATATTTGAAATTATGTACAAAGCAATGGATAATTATTTTGAATTATAAATGAATTGAAATAAGATTTATAAATATAAATAAGTTCAACATATGAGATTGTAATATTTGGAATATTTTTAATTGTAACTTTGGAATTTAACTAAAAAATTGGAAATTATATTGTATTATGAAAAAGCAATTGAATTTTTTTAAAAAAAATTCTCATTATTTTTTTAAAAAATGAGAATTGAGAGATAGAATTATAAATGAATTGAAATAAGATTTATGATAATGTATTGAGCAAAGTAATTTGATTTAAGATGAATGATTGTAATATTATATATATGAGTGACTTTTAGTAAGATATTGGATTGTAATATTTAGATTAGTTGACAAAGAAAAATATTTGCGATTGAAATAAGGGAATTTAGGGAAATACTGGAAATTATATTATGTTGTGAAAAGGATTAAAGGGGAAATATTTGAATAGGATGGTTTAGAGTTAAGATTAATTATTGGAAAAATGACTGATTTCAAATTTAAGGGTTTTAATTTGGAGAAAATAAGGGAAAAAATTAAATTTGATTAAGATTAGAGATTAGGGTGAATGGTAATATTGGCTATTAGAAGAAATGAGGAAAAGAAAATAAAAAGTAGAGAGAAAGATTATTATGGCAAAAAGTGAAATATATAAATTCTGTTGGAGATAACTAAAATTTGTATAAATTTATGGCTCGGCCAATACTCTGTTCAGAAAAAATGCATTGTTTGTTTGTTTGTTTGTGTAAAAAATAAAAAAACTTGTTTAAAAAAAATAAAGCAAATGTAACAGTCGTTAAGTGAGTCCATTCATTCCTATGGGTATTTTTTGCTAGAAATAGCAATCGAAATAGCACTTAGACTTATATACCACTTCATGGTGCTTTGCAGCCCTCTCTGAGCAGTTTACAGAGCCAGCATATTGCCCACAACAATCTGAGTCCTCATTTTACTGACCTCAGAAGGATGGAAGGCTGAGTCAACCTTGAGCTGATCAGGATTGAACTGCAATACTGCGTTCTAACTACTGCACCACCACGGCTTTGTCCTAAAGTCTAGAAACTAGCAAAAATAATTGTAAATCATGATCACGTGACTGCAGAATGCTGCAACCAGCCCTAAAAATAAACCCGTTCTGTGACCGCAGGGTGACGTCTTTGCCAACATTGGACCTCCAGAATTGGATCATAAGTAATTGGTGGGGGGGGATTCATCATAACTTTAAACAGTTGCTAAGCAACTAATCATTAATCAAGGACTATCTACATTTGGGCAAAAACCTCCCCGTAATCTCCTTTCACATAAAAGCAATACACTTTTCTCCTTTAAATATCATGTTTATGGCTTGCTTTCCAACAAGCAGGTCATACCTGAAGATCATTCGATCCCTTCTAATGTTTTTTGCTACCTTCACCATGAAGGGTGCTTGATCCTCTACTTGTATTCCACTTCCAGAATTTCAGAGAAAACCCCAAACGGGTCACTGAGGCCAGCAAACCCCCTCACTCTGCAAGAATGGCTCACCCGTTTGCGATGCATCGTGTCCAGAAACAGTTTGCACTGCTTGTAGATCTCCTGGCCAGCCTTATTGTAGGTCTTAAGAAATTCAATGAAGTCCTTGGACACTCTATCGGTTTCGATGCTGACCTGCCTACTGATAGAAGGACTAGGCGCTTTGGCTTCTGGAACTTCTACAAAAAAGAGGGAATAGAACACTGTTACAAATAAAAATTACTCAACTTTCTTGGTCAGAGACGTATTATGAGCGACAGAGGAAAAGAAGAAGCTATTCATTGTTGGGGGGGGGGAAACACTCCACACACAAAACCTTGAAGGTTTATTTTCTACTACTTGTAAGCTAAACTAGAATTGCAGCCAATAAGCGTTTCTCAGATGGAAATTACAACCTCAGATGTCTGCTGCATGACAGACACAATTTATCAAGAGTCAATTTTCCCTAGCTATCAAATGTTTAATCAGACCTTGTGCCTGTGTCCTACTTTTTAGAAAAGTGGCTGGTTAAAGCAATTAACTAACACATACTACTTATCAAACCCTTTCTAAGAGGCAATATATGTAAGCTGCAGTCTTCACATGGATCACTGTGACAAATCTTGTAAAGTGTTTACAGAAATAAGGTAAGGGAGTCCATTAATCTACTATCACTTGTAGCATTTTCTGGAAACACTGCTTCTTATCTTTGCTCAAGCTGCCATAACTTTAAAAGCTACAGCTATAGGATGTGTTTTAGCACTCTAGCTTCTCCTTCAAATATTTTTCACCTTGGAGTTAATTGCAGCAAGGAAAATATAATTACATATGTAGATATGGTTAACTCAGATTCTATGAATAAACTAAAAACACAGCAAGTACTACTTAGCAAAAACTGGAATCTACAATTGTTGATGTATTTACAAATAGTCAGGTGATACAATTAGATCTCAAGAAGGAAGGAGGGGCATTAAGAAAGAAATGTTTCTTAAATGAAACATTGAAATGTTAATACAAACCCAACGCCACCTATGAGGGCATTTTATATTATGTAAACTCTACTGAAATATGATACTGAGACATAACAAGCAAAAAATGGATGCAAATCTTTAAAGGAATAGCAACAAATAAATAGCATAACAAACAAAAACATGGATGCAAAATTTTAAAGAAATAATTAGAGCACAACAATGGGAAGAATCATGGACCTTATCTATAAAACCCATACCAAATTATAACCCAAAGGAAGATTGGTATATAATTATTTTACAAGTGGTATACAACTCCATCAGTAATATCTAAGATAGACAGATCATCCTGTAATAAATGTTGGAAACGTCATGAAACAGAAGGATTGTTTCAGTGATGTTGGAGTGCCTTAATTCTAGTAATTTTAAAAAATTTATTTTGCTTTCTATAATACTCTGTGACATTGTTCACCATAAATTTAAAGTATATTTCTTTTATCCTTTACCGCAATATTTCATTAATATACAAATAACATTTCTGTTTAAACTTTTTCATTGCCTATTTCTGTCGAGCTGGAATCAATTATATTTTTCACCACAAAAATAGCATTTCAGATAGTACAAATTCACATGATACGATTATTTCCTGTGATTCATTAATGGCACTAATAGAGTACTGTAGTGCAAAATAGCAGGTGTATAAAAAGGAAGAAGTCAGAAACCTAATAGGTTTTTAAAAATTATTTTCTGTTTTGTCTTTTTCTACTTTTTGCTATTTTAATTCTCCCTATTTAATTCGTCCTAAATTTGCTCTGTACATCTATTTTCATTAACATGACACACACACATTAAATAACAATACAATGGAGATTTTAATATTAAATAATCAGCTTAAGACAAAAACCTTTATAACAAATCCTTTCATGCACATCACAGCTTTTTTCAATGTTATACTCAACTTTGAACGAAAAAGCAAATAATTGAACAATAGTTAAATCCAACAATTTCATCATTAGCTGCTCCCTTAAAAGCTCTTTATAAGGGAGATAATTACAGTAAGAAAAGTGTAATTACATACGCAGTCAGAGTCCACCCAGATTTTATTTATTTGGACTTGCAGGATCCAATCTAAGTGGGTCACCGGGACGAGAGGTTTAATCTTCCGAGCTTTCGGACTCCAGCTAAAGCCCATCTTCAGAGAACTTCTATCTACATTCCAGCAGAGAGAAGTTCCCTGAGGATGGGCTCCAGCACGAGTCTGAAAGCTCGGAAGGCTAAACCTCTGGTCCCAGTGACCAATCCAGATTGGATCCTGAAACATTATCCTGGGACATGTATATGTGGATTTTTTTATCCCACCTTTATTATTTATTATACTCAAGGTGGTGAATTTACTCCTTCCTCCTCCCATTTTCCTCATAACAACAATCCTGTCAGAGGGATTGTGGTGGTCCAAAGAAACCCAGCCAGCATTCATACTGAAGATCACAAGAATATAGTAGATTAAAGACCCAGGAAGAATTACCTGGTGAAGGACAGAACATAGCATTTAACTTTTTAAAATTAATTTAAAATAAGAATAAACTCAGTGGCACAAGCAAGCCTGAAAGGAGGTATTAAACTGGCACCATATTGCCCATTCCCCAGTTTAGTATATGCCAAGGGAGTATCATGAGACAAGCAGCAAATGAGTCTATATTAGCCAAACTATTATTCAGTGAATGATGCATCCATGGAAATACTAAATATGAGTTTTTGACATGACAGGCAATAAAAGGGGCAGTGAAATGCAAGAATATAAATTTGGTTGACTATAAAATGCAAGTTCTATGGACCTAATTCATATTCAGTACACTGATATATTTGAATACATCTCTCTCCTAGGTTAAAATTCATAGTATTTCGAGCCCATCCAAAAAGAAACAAAATGCGAGACTAAAAAGGTTGTTCTGTCTAAACAGCATCAATTCACCCACCTTTCAGTTTGCTAACCAGCGCTATTCAGAATGAAGCACAGAAGATGCAAATGTAGCAGGATGAAGGGAGAGGAGCAGGAGACAAAGAAATAAAACACAAAGAATTTTAATCAGCACCTCACAAATGCAAGCCAAACACTAATGCATCTAACACAGAGAATCAATGATTAATGTGAGGACAACAAGGAATGAAGAACGATGAAGGCATTTGTTATGAAAACATGGCAGCTTACTTCACATTTTTTAGCAGGTGGGAATTTATAGGTCTGCTGACAAGTGTCGGAAGGCAGAGAAGTCTGATACTGTTGTAAGCTGCCGGTGATTCAGCAGCATACAAACTGAAGAAACAAAGAATATTTGGTTTTCACGATCCACGTGTTTACAAATGACTTGTTATATGCCTATGCAAATGTTTAAATTCTTTTTAAAGTTTCAAGAAATAAATGCAATCATTCACATGGTCATAAGGAAGGCAGGTTATTACTATACTCTTGGGTTGACCCTATGTGTTAGTCAGTGGTGGGATTCAAATAATTTAACAACCAGTTCTCTGCCCTAATGACCGGCTGGGTGGGCATGGCCATGATGGGCTTGGCCAGGGGGTGTGATAGGCAGCACTCGGCCTCCTGAAGCCCTCTGGGAGCAAAAACGGGCTACGGGGGGGGGGGGACACACACTGCCCCCCCGCACCCGATTTTGGGCCTAGTAGGCCTCCCTGCAGCCTCCTGGGAGCGAAAACAGGCCACAGGAGGGCTGCGCTGCACACCCCGGTGCCCCGTTTTGGGCCTAGGAGGCCTCCCTGCAGCTTCCTGGGAGCGAACAGGCCATGGGAGGGGCGCACCGCACCCCCCTGCACCCCATTTTGGGCCTAGGAGGCCTCCCTGCACTTACCTGGGAGCCAAAATGGGGCGCATGGGGACTCCTGGAAGGGGCAGGGCATGGCCAGCGAGCAATTTAACTACCAGTTCGCCTGAACCAGCCCGAACCGGCTGAATCCAACCACTGTTGCTAGTGCAAAAGATCAAAACTGTAACTGAGGCTTATGTAGTATTTCAATCATACTTTTACTTTATTTTCCTTTCCCTGCTTCATTTGAGTCAGCTATAACACGAGGTACTTTCTATTGGGATGATACCATACACATCTTCTATAGAAGATTTGGAACAGTCCAATTGGCTTGCTTCCAACTCCTCAAGGAACCCCAAAGACTATAACTCCCAGCCAGTATGAAGTAATGCCTCAGACATGCTCATCAAGATTGGGTCCAAAGATCCCAGTTCTTCCTGCAAACGTCCTTGGGCTACATGCGGAGTTCTTGCCAATACTAGAGCATCATAGGCTACTGACCTCACATACGGGGAGAGGAAGTTTTTAACCCAGTTGCATATTTTAAAAATTACAAACGAAACCCCAAACATGTAAAGCTATAATGATCTTTATTGGCCATTTAAAAAAGATCTGGTTAAGCAACTGCAAGAGTTAGGTGGCTTTTAGCTAAGCTGCATATTTTATGCAAGGGATGGCAGCCTTGTACCCAATTTCTATCTCCGATCTACAGTATTTGGCAGAGTACATGTCCCCAATCTTAGGCTTATATAATTCTTTTTTATATTTCCATTTCAAAAGAAGAAACAAGTTCCAAAACATAGCTTGCGTTGCTAAACAGAAAAAAGGAAAAACAATGCCGTTTTCCAGTATTTCCTAGAACAATTATTAATTCCACATGCCTAAAATTATTCTGGAACAGCAAAAAAACCCAAACATACAAAAACAAAAAGGCCACAGTCAGGAAAGTGTCCAGCAGAGCCTCTACAAATGGCTTTTTAAATACCACTGCTTTTAAATTCCTGCCAGGAAAAACTAATCACAACATTTGCAGGGTACATGATCCAGTTCTGCAACTATGACCACTGCAAGCTATGGTCAAAGTGTGTTAACCGCAGAACACAGTGCAATAAAATAAGAGAATGACTTGAAAATATGCACAGAGGAGATCAGCAACAGCTATTACACTTGATACCTAATTGAAGCCTGTGGACACACAGGTAGGATGTCTTTAAATGCCAGACAGCGAGATGATTGTCTTTTTATAAGCATGGTTGAAAGCTAGACCTCCGTTCTGATGAATAAGGAAAGCGACAAATCCAGCAACAAAAATGTTATAGTTATATTAATGACACACATCAACTATTTTCCAACAAGGAAAATATTATAAAAGGCGGATAATGAACTAATGGTACACATTAATAATCCATTGCATTTCTTGGAATGGCAAGTCCTTACTCAAGGGGCTACATATTGCTCATTAGAAGATTCTGAGGACACACAAGGGAGATATATGGCTTTCATGACCCATTGATTCTATTCCCCATTGCAATATAGCTGGCAGTTTTGGGCATTACATGAGATACAGCTTGACCTGTGCTATGCAGGGTGGATAAAAATGGATGATTTTTTTAAAAAAAAAATAATATAATCCAATTTTTTAAATTTAAATCAGATTTTTTTGATTTTTATCAAATTTATTTTAATAAAATGCTTTTGGAGCAAAAATCTAACTAAAGATAGTTTTCTATTTAAGATACCTTACTAATTTAGTTTATTCAGCATAAAATGAAGTTTAGTTATGTAGCATGTGACTGTATATTCTGCAATATTGGGACTGTTGGTGAGTCAACAGCGGGTCAGAAGAGCTGCTGCTATGGGACAGAGATGACAGTTGCTCTTTAAAAATTACGATTTAAATCGAGTTGTTTTAAATCAAGCCTTTTTATTAGTGATTTAAATCATGTTTTAAATCGTGATTTAAATCAACTCGATTTAAATCAAATCTACCTTTGTGCAATCCAAATCCAGCTAAATGTAATGTATACATAATACATGTTTAAATATTAATGATTTAGCCTGATCCATCAGCTGTTTTGGTTGTTTTCTAAACCTAATTCAAGATGCTTATAAAACCTAATACATTACTTATATATAGTCTGCCCTCTGCTCTTTTATCTTCAATGGTTAACAAAATATGTGTCATCCTTTTAAGTGACTTGCTCCACTGCAACATGACAACAATAGGGTCTAAGATAGCAAATATGTTTGATGAAGTTATTGGCTACCACTTATCTGTTTTTATTAGATTTAGATTTTATATAATTATTAGATTCTTATATATGTCAAATATATAGAGGACTCCCTCCCACAAGTTCTCCCTGCTCCAACAATTCCTGTGAGATACTTCACTTAGGAGGAGCAATGAGCTTCTATGGATCTCCCAGGTCCTATCCTAACATTTTAAGCATTACATCTGCTAACTGAAGCTTTCTCACCCCTAGAAACTGAACATGAATACTGACAAAATGAATTGCCTTTGCAAGGCAAATATAGGCTAAAAAAGTATTCATATCTTTCATGTCAGTTTCTGTACCAAACAAATTTCTGCATTATAGCAATAGCACGTAGACGTATATACCACTTCATAGTGCTTTTACAGCAGCTCTCTAAGTGGTTTACAGAATCAGCATATTGCCCCCAACAATCTGGGTCCTCATTTTACCCACCTCAGAAGGATGGAAGGCTGACTCAACCTTGAGTCTGGTGAGATTTGAACTGCTGAACTGCAGCTAGCAGTCAGCTGAATACCAGGATGTTCCAGAAAAAGTCAGTTTTTCCAGTACTATCAAATATTCAAGTATTCTTCTTCAGTACTATTTTCTCAAAATTCTTGGGCATTTTTGCTTAATTCATTCATTTCTAATAATGCTAGAATATATTTCCTCTTCACAATCGCCTCCATTTAATATATCCTGGCTATTGGAGATACAGGTTGGGGAAGGCTGCGCTTAGTGTGTGAGGGGGCAACCAAGCCTTTGAAAAAATCAACTCTCCTGTGAGTTGAGCTCTACTTCTCGTGAATCCATGGACACACCCAAACAGTTCTTTCAGCAGCATTATGGAAGTGGGTTGCAAGTGTTTTCTTCAAGGCCACCTTTTGACTTCCCATAGTTCTGGTATTTCCCAATGGTCAATATTTGGCTAAGAGATTAAGATGGCCTTCAGTAGCCTCTGAGCCTAGACAAGATCAGCCAAATGCTCCTAACTGACTACTGCACTTCAGAGTAGTCAATATTTTTTTTTTAGATGCAAAACACTCTTTGCAGCCTTCACTGTCTTTTCTAACTTAATTTTAAAAAGGATGTGACAAATCAGCTACGCGGCACATTTAAATGTTATTACCTATTTGGCGTTTAACATTCACACTGTTTGAGAAAATGAACTTCCATATTATGCTGTGCTCCTGATGCTAAAAGATAATTGGGCAAACTATTTGAGAACTCTGGAAGTTATGGTTGAAAAAGGCTGAGTGAAAAAGTAAACACTAAAAATATTTGGGTTTTTTTTTTTATAGTATTAGATGTGGGAGATAGAAAGATTGGTGCCTCCAGCATCTTCTGGCCGAATGATATTTAAAAAAGAAAACCTGACTACATACAGAATAAATTGTTATGATAAAATTCAGAAAACAAATCTTAATCTTTCATCAAAACTATCTTTAAAAATATACACAGTATGCCAGTCTGAACAGTCTTTAAAACACTTGGCAGAGAGCTGAAGGAAGCCATAAATAATCAGCCCAAATGAATAAAAATAAGGAAAAGCACCATGGCATGCATCTGAAATCTCTTAGAAAACTATTTCTGTTAAAACTGGTTCTCATCTTTGAAAGTCAGTACAGTAATAAGAATTCCAACAGGAGCGTTTTTTTTTAAAGCATAAGATTTTTATAATATACATACAGCCTCTTTTTTTTAAGAGTACACATCTAGTTTTGGATGGAATTGTGTGCATAATCTCTACTGAAATCTTAGAAGCAACAGGAGCAATCAGCTAAATTTCTTGTAACCAGAGAAGGAAGAATCTTCCAAAAGCTAACAAAAATACATTTGTTTCTATGTGATCTCTTAGGCATTTATTTGATGTCATTTAAATGATCGATCAAAACAAAAAATAGAGCACTTATGAGCTACCTGGCAATATAAGGAAACACTCAGCCTTATTCAAGTCTTCGCCAAGATTCTCTTTCATTGAATCAAAGAAAACAACCCCACTCCCACCAGCAGTTAAACTCATTTATTTCTCAAAATACATGAGTAATTTCTGTTTTTCCACTGTTACGGCCTGAGCAAAATTTTGATTGAATTAATCAAGAAAGTGCCTTATAATTTGCCTTTTCAAAAAATTATTAATCAAATTTATATAGTCAAAATTAAAATATTTAGATTCAAAATTATCAAGACTTCATCAATTTTTAGCTTTGCTTGAAGATTAACTTTATAACTTAACCAAGCAAATATTTAACAGACTTTACCGTATTTTCTGTTGAAGGGAGAAAAAAACTAGGTTTAGGCTCCATAATTTTTTTTTAAACCCTTCTATTGTCTGTACTTCTCTCTAGCATAACTGTTTAGGTTTAGAAGGTACAGTAAGTTACTCCTGGCATAATTCTAGCTTGGATTCTGCAAAGCCACTAAAACAAGCACGCGCATGGTTTGACCCTCTGTGCTGTATTACCTTCAGCAGGAGAAGCAAGCTCCCAAGACGGAGTAAACATCTCCTTCAAATGCCTTAGAAGATTATCAGCACTGACTTCTTCCTCAAGCTGTTCAGGCTTAAAACTGGATTCCTGAATGGCTAGAGCAAATGCAAAACAGCAAGCAGGGCAGCCACAGGCAATAGGGGAAATGAAGAAGGGAGGCAATGGATCTATGGTTCCTGGTCTGATCTACAGAAAGAGATGGCAGTATATAATAGCTTGGACATCTGGGGGTCAAGCACTTTCAAAGTGATGAATGAAGAAGGGAAAACGTATTTCGAAACATGCAATAAGCGCAGAATGGGTGACACGTGAAAACAAGCTGCTTTGGGGAAACATGCAACCAGCTCTAAGGTTGATTTAATATTCCAAACTGCACATGCACATAAAAGATGTTAATCAAGAGTAACACACACACAAAAAGCAGAAAGGAGGTGTTAAAGAGCTGCCAGTGGAACGACAAGATTTTAATCATGGCCATTGAGCAGATAGGCCAATAACTAAGCAAAATTTTCTATTATTCCTTGTATGCCTATCTGAACACGCCACCTTCAAAATATTTCTTTGGGCCCACTGCTGTTGTTGGATTTATAGTAAGCTGACACTTTAGTCTTTCCAGTTGTAGCCCCAAAGGTTTTTTCCCCCCCTTCCCCTCCCACCACCAAAAAAAAGCAACAGGGCTTTGTTCTTGTTTTTCTTTGAAAATGATTCATTTCTCATCCAAAAAGTTTCTTTAGTTCTTGGATAAGAAGTGAATTTAAAAAAAAAATACAAAAAAAGAAAGACCAATTGCCTTTTGGAAAAAGCACCTTTGGGACAACCATGACCTGGATGATTGAGAATCTCCATAGATATTTTTCAGTTGTAGTAGACAGAATTTGAAATAGTTTTCCAAAATGCATATTTAAGTCCACCACTGCTAATTTCAATCAGCAGCAGTTTTATTCCAGCAGGTGTTGTCTGGATGTTGTTGTAAAATTAAATTTTAACTGCTCCTGAATTTAATTGATAGTTGTATTTTACCACTTTATTGTTCCTTAAATTGTTGATTTTTGTAAAAAAAAATATATGACAAGAGGGTTATAAAATTAAGTAAAAAGTACTTAAACACAAATCAAATTTGACAACTATTTATGCAGTCTTATAAAATACAACTTTCATATGCTACTCATTTGTGCTGATTTTAGTAAGAAAAGGGATACAATTACCTGCTTTCATCAGATCGCAAGAAACTTTCATTCACACAGGTCCTTTAAAATTGCTGCACAGCTGTTGTTTTTCTGTGTTTCAGAACTACCTTAATATTTGTGCCTGCTAATGTTTGCTTTGTTTAAACCTTTGAGTTCCTTCATATCAGCCCATACTCAAGCAGTTTTGTAAGGATAACAAACAAATGTAATAAAATCAGTCTCTTAAATCTTCCTTTTTCCCTTAACTTTTTCCCTTCTTGGACTGACATCGAGTATCTACTGAAAGATTTGATAAGAACCCTTTCTTACTTAATCTAGAGTCCTGAACTTTTAAGCATTCATTTTTGTTCATTATTCAGAAGACAAAACATGACACTGACTTATGGCTTAAGATCTGAGTCCAGAGTCTCGCTTGCTTCCAACAACTTATTGTTCAATATGTTTATCAGTGATTCATCACTTTGAAGGTAGCTCTCTATCTGAAAGTCTCAGAACTGTGACTGGTTATCCTAATGACCCTTCGAATGAAAAATCCCTCAGAATTTCAAAGTTACTGTTAAAAATGTTTATCCAAATGCAGGACATGAGTTTATGAGAATTTCAAAGCATCTAAACCAGCCAGCTGTTTAACAATCAAATAACTATAAGGGACACCTTTAACCACAGTATTGACTTCTGATATTCATCAATATTACCAAAACTAAGAGATTGGAGTTCATTCATACCATCCTCCAATGTACAGGTAGTCCTCGACTTACAACCATTTGTTTAACAACTCTTTAAAGTTATGACAGCACTGACTTATGACCGGTCCTCACATTTATGAGTGTTGTAGTGTCACGGGGTCACCATTTACAAACTTTCAAAGAGGTTTCGGACAAACAAAGTCAATGGGGGGAAGTCAGATTCTTAACAACTACAATAAAGAAGTTCACAAAACCAGGCACAACTCATTTAGCAACTGCATCCCTTATCAACAGAAGTTCCAGCCCCAATTGTGGTTGTAAGTCAAGAACTGCCTGTAAGCCTCTCCAGAAGCCTTTCAGGTTCAGCAGTGGTGTATTTTCAGGAGATCCACTATTGCTGAACCTGAGAGTTTATGGCTTTCTAGAGTTTAGAATGTAGTTTTCTCCATACTATGTTTTAACCACAGTCTACAACTGTTTTAACAATCAAGGCAGTGTATGTGAAAGGCTTTCAATGCTGAAGTAAGACACTCTAGAACCTTCTATTACTATGAAACTTCTACTTTCCAGATAATAGTAGAAGATTCCAAAGGAAATGACTTAGATGGCAGAATGCCCAATGCACATGCTCACAAGAAATGGAGAAGATCAATGAATCAGATCAGTACCTTCCCAGCAACCTCTTCCATAATAATGTCTTTAAGAAGCAAACATTTCTCTTTCGTTTCTTCTGTCCACCTTACCCTTCTTAGTTCCAGGACGCGAAGATGCTCCGAAGAATTTCTTCACTGTTGCCACTTTCCGCAGCTTCTCGCTTGTTTTTTTTTCCTCAAATTTTGTGAAAGTAAGTGACTGAGCCCCATGAGTGTGCTGAGTATTAGCATAGGCCTCTTCTTCCTCACGCTGTAGTCTACATTGGGAAGAATAATAAACAGTCTCAATTCCCTTAAAAAGTATTGCCAAACGACTAGCAAGTTTCATATATTATGTTGCTAGACCCAGGCTTCTTAGGGATATTCAAACTATTTCAACTTCAAAATGTCCCATTTCATGTTCAAGGCAATTATTTCATATTTTTGAAACAAGCTATTTCAACAATTCTGAAAGTGATTACAGTCTGAAACAGTGTATTATAGCCTCAAAATAATTGGTCCAAGCTTGATACATTTCCAGAATCACTGAATTAGTTCAGATTACACAAAGCCACCGGCGGTTGTGGTTCATATGAAAAATAGCCACAAGTAAGACAGACTCCAGAGCTTTGTCTACATTGTGCAGACCAAATGTAGTGCCAGAATAGAAACTACTGAACCATGATGGTTTTATGTGTCGGTATTCTTTTCCTGATGCTTTTCAGGAAAGTGATGAGTGCTACATCAATGAGAAATATCATCACAGTCCACTTGGTAGGTTAACATTCTTGTTTGCACTATTATTTACCAATATACCTATTTACTGGTCTATGCTGCTAAATTTATACTAAGTGACTTATGGAAGACAAAAAACAGGTTTAAAAAGACTGGAAACACAAAGCACCAACCAATATACCAGTGATGGCTAACCTTTTTGCCATCAGGTGCCAAAAGCAGGGGGAGCATGAGGGGTCACATGCACGCGTGCCCACATCCATAATTCTATGCACCCTGCCCCCCCTGTGCCCCCCCCGCTTTTGGCACGCGATGGCATGGTGGGTCCAGTAGGCCCGTTTTTCACTCTCCCCAGGCTCCAGAGCCTTTCTAGAGCCTGGGGAGGGCGAAAATGGCCTTCCCCACCCCCCCAGAGGCCCTCCGGAGGCCAGAAACAGCATGTTTCCTGACTTCTGGTGGGCCCAGAAGGCCCAAAAATCAGCTGGCTGGTGCACGTATGCGTGCTGGAGCTGAGCTTGCATGCCCACTGATATGCCACCAGTGGCACCCGTGCCATAGGTTCGCCATCACGGCAATATACTATGTTAGTACTACCTATAAGCGTAGGCCAAACATCTCCATATCCAAATGCATTCCTAAAGAGCAGAATGTTTATAACCCTTCATAAGGTAGAGGAGGACCAAATGTCCAAGAAAAGGTTCTATAAAAAGAGGCCATCACTGGCAAGACTTGCCCCCAAGTCCCTTTATGTGGCATTCCCTCAAACAAGGGACCTTCAGCAAGTTCTTTCTTTCTGATTTCACTGGGTAAACAGATTCAATCCAGAGAAAGTAGTCTAATTGGTATCTGGTCCCTGAATCATGAATAAAGCAGCTTTAAAGGTGACAATCAGCATACTGAATTGCAACCAAAAGCTAACTGGCAACCAATGCAGTTCCCCAAAATAACAGTATTTCAAGGGCAAAATTCAATGTGCCCCTAACCCAAAACTATAAAGGCAGTTTCACTCTACACCAGTATTAGATAGGGAGAAAGCCCGTTCTTATAATACCTAGAGAAAACAATTTCAGTATCGTAGCACTCTCCTCTGGTAAATATAAGGTATTTTTCCTTTTGGTAGAAAAGTATGTTTTATCAACCTTCCCCTAAGAAAAATGATAATTGTACAAAACTTAAATATAGCCCACCCAACTGCAACATGGCCCATAGTACATCATTCAGTACTATGAGTGGCTCACTGGGCCACTCAAGTCCCCCCCACCCCCCCAAGAAGATGCACTCTTGTGACCTAGAGCAGGCCTGCTACACAACTGAGAGGGGAAAGGCCCACATTGACACAAGCTTCAGAGGACTACTTGTCACACCAATCAACTGTTTGACAGGAAGTGGAATGGTGGTAATACTGGAGCTAGTGGTGGCACGGAGGCTTGGAGGTGCTTGGCAGTACATTTTTCAGGCAATGAAGAATTTATTCTATTTTTATAATACTGGCAGGCGACTCAAGCTGCTTGTTGTGCAGGCCTGATCTAGAGCCTTCCTGTCTGCTATGTCATCTAAAGCAGAGTTCCCCAACCTTTCTGGGTTGGCAGCTCGTAGGGAAGGGGCAGGCGCCTTTACATGCACATGTGTGAACAGGGCCGTAAGCGTGTACACGCCAGAAATGGGGCTGTGAACATGTGCACGGTGCTAGTACCCGTGCAATGCCCAAGGCGATGCTAGCATGAATGGGGGGCTGTGCGCGCACACACATGCCCGCGCACTGGCCAGCCACTCATGCGGCCCAGTGGACAACAGGCCACAGCCTGGTAGTGGGCTGCAGCCCACAGGTTGGAGACCCCTGATCTAAAGTAGGATATATATGAAATGTACCTGAAATTTAATTTTAATTTAAAAGTATCTGTTTCAAAGATGAACGCTATTGTCAGTATCTAGCTAAACATGTTTCATACTGCAGCTTCATGAAAGCAATCTGAAGCTTTAGTCACCTGATACAGCCAGTGAACATGCACTCTGCCGAGACTAAAAGTTGCGTCTTAAAACCCAAACAATATTTCATGTAGTTTAGTTGATGAGGGAGCGTATCATTGTTGTTCACAGAAAAAACAACCTGGACCTCATCACTTCCTCGGCATAATCTTACCTCTCAGCAAGCTCCCAATCTTCCTGGATTTGCTTCTGCCTGGCTTTTTGGTACTCTTCTCTCCAGCATTTGGAGCAGTAGCCCTGCCAAGCTACGTTACCATAGTAACCACATCCTTTCTTGCAAAGCAGTTCTGACTGATCAACATGGATCCCTCGGCGTTCTGACTTCACACTCATTTTGCTCCTGCTACAAAGAGGAAAGAGAGAGCAATTTAGGCATTCTTGCACAACTCACAGAAAAAGCAGGCTATTTTGTTTTACAGGTAATCTTCGACTTACAAGAGTTCATTTAGTGATTGTTTAAAATTACAACAGCACTGAAAAAAAGTGACTTATGACCGTTTATCACACTTACAATCACTGCAGCATCCCCATGGTAACAAAAAAATTATAACTCCCCGGCCTCATGCTAACCAGAAGTACAATGATAACTGCTAAAAAACAAATATGTGTAACTTATTTCAACGTAGAAAATAGGAAGTGTTCTGGATGTTTTCCTCTATCAAATAGGATAATTTGCATAGCAAATTACGTACATTACATAGCAAATGTTTTGAAACTTAAAGAATTAATATAATATAGAATCATTGCTGATTAACTATTACAAAGGTTTTTGCCATTTTATTTCAACTTACAAGACATTCCCATATACATATACACCAAACACATAAATATGCACACATATGAACTCAAAAACAAGATTGCCTACTCTTTGGCTTCAACTGGCATATTTTCATTATTACTGATTAATTCATGAAATAGATCTCACCATTAACATACAGTTTTGCCTTCATTAATAGTTATATTTTTCCTATTGGGCAAATTCTTTTCCATCACCATATATCTCTCTCTCTCGCCCATCATTTGCTAATCAATTAAAGAAAGCTCTCAGTTCTGTGACACATAGGAAAGTGTCCTTAGGCATTCCCCATTATTGCCATGAGACAATCCAGAAACTAAAACTGAGAAACATTTAGGTCATGCTGCCAGTTCTTTGCCACAGGATAAGTCTCCTCTGGTATTTCCAACATGTCTTTCATTATTGATAGTATCAAGGGCAATGTTAAGGAATCCAAATGGCACTTCCCCTGAAAAACTAAAGAAAGCAACCATGCAGCACTGTTAGTGGTAGTCAAACTTTTGCCATAGTAGAGGTGCAACTATAGAATATCAGAGCTATCAGTGTCCACAGAGTGTCATAAACTGTCAAATTTGCCAATTCAGCAGTAGACACTCAAAACCCTACGATGCTATAGCCCAGTGTTTCTCAACCTTAACAACTTCTAATGTTTATGGACTTCAACTCCCAACATTCCACAACTATGGTATCATTATCACATAGGACAAAGTGACTTCACACCAATTCAACTTCCAAATAATCAGACTCTTAGGCTGACTAGTATACAGTTGCAAGAAAAAGTATGTGAACCCCTTGGGATTACGTGGAGTTTTGCATGAATTGGTCATAAAATGTGCTCTGAACTTCATCTAAGTCACAACAATAGAAAAACACAGTCTGCTTAAAATAATACTACACAAACATTAGATGTTGCCATGGTTTAATTGAACATAACATGTAAACATTCACAGTGCAGGGAGGAAAAAGTATGTGAACCTTTGGACTTAATAACTGGTTGACCCTCCTTTGGCAGCAATAACCTCAACCAAACGTTTCCTGTAGTTGCAGATCAGACCTGCACAACGATCTGGAGTAATTTTGGACCACTCCTCTTCACAAAACTGTTTCAGTGTAGCAATATTCTTGGGATGTCTGGTGTGAATCGCTCTCTTAAGGTCATGCCACAGCATTTCAATCGGGTTGAGGTCAGGACTCTGACTGGGACACTCCAGAAGGCGTATTCTGTGCTGTTGAAGCCATTTTTTTGTTGAATTACTTGTATGCTTTGGGTCATTGTCCTGTTGCATCACCCATCCTCTGCGGAGCTTCAGTTGGGGGACAGATGGCCGTACGTTTTCCTGCAAAATGTCTTGATAAACTCTGGAATTCATTTTCCCATCAATGACAACAATCTGTCCAGGCCCTGAGGCAGAAAAGCAGCCCCAAACCATGATGCTCCCTCCGCTATGTTTTACAGTGGGGATGAGGTTTTGATGTTGGTGTGCTGTGCCTTTTTTTCTCCACACATAATGTTGTGTGTTCTTCCCAAACAACTCAATTTTGGTTTCATCTGTCCACAGTATATTTTGCCAGTAGTGCTGTGGAACATCCAGGTGCTCTTTTGCAAACTTCAAACGTACTGCAATATTTTTTTTGGACAGCAATGGCTTCCTCCATTCTTGTTTAATGTTTTCCTTATTGTAGATGTGTCAACAAAAATGTTAGCATGTGCCAGAGATTTCTGTAGGTCTTTAGCTGACACTCTAGGATTCTTCTTTACCTCATGAAGCATTCTGCGCTGTGCTCTTGCAGTCATTTTTACAGGACGACCACGCCTAGGGAGAGTACCAACAGTGCTAAACTTTCTCCATTTGTAGACAGTCTGTCTTACCATGGACACATGAACATCAAGCAGGGTGGATAAAAATCAATGATTTTTTTAAAAAAATCAAAAAAATCAGATTTTTTTGATTTAAATCGGATTTTTTTTTATTTTTATCGAATTTATTTTAATAAAAAACTTTTGGGGTAAAAATCTATCGTAAGATAGTTTTCTATTTAAGATACATAAATAATTTAGTTTATTCAGCATGAAATGGAGCTTAGTTATGTAGCATGAGGCTGTATATTCTGCAACACTGGGACTATTGGTGAGTCAACAGTGGGTCAAAGGGGTAGCAGAGATGACAGTTGCTCTTTAAAAATTATGATTTAAATCGAGTTGATTTAAATCAAGCCTTTTTACTAGTGATTTAAATCATGATTTAAATTGTGATTTAAATCAACTCGATTTAAATCAAATCCACCCTGACATCAAGGCTTTTGGAGATACTTCATGCAAGTCAACAATTCTTGATCGTAGGTCTTCTGAGAGCTCTTTTCTGCGAGGCATGGTTCACATCAGACAGTGCTTTTTGAAACCAGTAAACCCAAAACAAGTGTGTGTTTTTAAAGGGCAGGACAGCTGTCAGCAACACATCCAATATCATCACACTGATTGGAGTCAAGGTTGGCTCACTCCTGGCTCCAATTAGCTCTTGGAGAAGTCATTAGGATAGGGGTTCACATACTTTTTCCTCCCTGCACTGTGAATGTTTACATGTTATGTTCAATTAAACCATGGCAACATCTAATGTTTGTGTAGTATTATTTTAAGCAGACTGTGTTTTTCTATTGTTGTGACTTAGATGAAGTTCAGAGCACATTTTATGACCAATTCATGCAAAACTCCACGTAATCCCAAGGGGTTCACATACTTTTTCTTGCAACGGTACCTCTGTGACACACGTTCCAAGCGGTATAAGGATAAAAAAAACCCCACATGAAATAATATGACAGATGGTGATTTAATCCCTAGAATCAAAGAGAAGAAACTGATGCTGTTAAAATTCAAAATACAATGTAGGACCTTGTATGCAACTCATCTTAAATACACATTGTAAAGAGATTAGGCAGAGGCTGGACAATCAAATCACACCCAGTGGTACAATGACTGCAAGGTTGTTATTGGTACAAGTTATCAAGTTAAAGAAGTCAGCAAGGAGGAGGTCATGTGCTCTAAGTACCTACTGAGTTATGACAGTTTCAAAGATTCTTCCCATAGGAAGTGACTGTGGTCTTTTTGTCCAGATGCATTTCAACTATGCATAAGTAAAAACAATGAATGTGTGTCAGTATATCCATATCTCTCTCAGTATAAAACAGAACAAAGCAGAAAGAAGACAAGCTCACTGATCCTTATATTAGCAAAGCTGGAGAAAAATTCCTTATGCTACTTAGATCTGAAACTACTTAATACTTGAGGAAGGAAAAAATCCCTTTGTAACAAGGGAGTCTCCCAGAACTGTGGGAATGTTTGCTCATCTTGAGTCATTTATTTCCATAAACAGAATAATGCAAGAATGTCTCTGGTATGCAAAAAGTACTTGTTCCCTTTAAAGCAGGGCAACTAGGGTAACTCTATCCATGACATTTCCTACAAATCCTTTAAAAAATCTAGGGAGGAACCAGACTGGATAGATATTTCCATTCAGAGTCAAATTTGCTTCTTTATCTTAAAAAAAATTACAGTCAGATAGACTGCTGCTCAGCAATCTAACCCAAAACCAGAAACTATTGGGGGGGGGAATTGAAGTTGGAGAGATTTAGAAAACCTACTTCAGGTACTTTGTACAAAGATCTAGCTCTCTGGAAAAAGCTCTAATGCTAGGAAAGATGGAAGAGTGAAGAAGACCTAAAAGATCAAGTTAGAAATATGACTTGATGGCTAATAATGCTAACAGGTTGGGAGAACCAGGATGATTTTACCTGAGTGACTTAATTTTTGTAGATAGTACCCAAAGATTATAGGGTGCCCAAAGGTTAATCAGGAAATCCTCTTACAAAATGCTGAGGAACAACGATGTTCCTGATTCACATTGAAAAATTACAAGAGTCCTTCAGTGTTTTACTGATATAAATACTGAGTATAACATAAAAACCTCTATATATACCATGTATTGTAAACCTTTATGACATCAACTCATGTTTTATAGGCTAGCTGAAGGGTAAGGGGAGAGAAAGAGAAATTAAAGAAAAACAGGAACCAGCAATAAAGGACACACCTATCTATATTCCTATTGCCAAAAACATAAACCAAATTATCTCATCTTTTATTTAAAAGGTGGGGGGGGAAGTATAATGTGTAAAACATTGAACTTGATCTTATAGTTATCTCTTCCCAAGAAACAGCAATCATAAATGAGAAAGACCAGATTATCTTCATAGAATAGGATATTGACATTTCAGCAAAGAGTTGTCATTAAATCTTATGGAAATAAATTCAGCCTCTGCTTTACATACTGATATACTAAACCACTCAACCCAATTCAGCACAACCAACACAAACACTAAAAAGAATGGCACTGCCATACATCAAGAAATCTCCAAAATCATCAACAGACTACTACAACTACATGGAATCAGTGTAGCACACAAGCCAACCAAAGCCCTTCAAAATATCCTAGGCAAACTAAGATCCAACAACCCCAGAAGAAAAAACAGGAGTCATCTACAACATATATTGTAATGACTACAACAAGCACTATGTAGGACAAACAGGCAGAAGACTGGCAGAACGTATCCATGAACACCAACTAACAGTCAGAAGACATGATGAAAGCTCTTCAATTTCACAATATATAGACAGACTTAACCATAGTTTCAATTGGGAAAATGTGACCATTCTAGATCAAGACAAGTCCAAAAATGCCAGGGAATTTCTAGAAACCTGGCACTCTGACAAATTAGCTATCATTAGACACATAGAGATTAATAACATGTATAGATTACGCAAAAGAAACAATCAACCTGCCAAAAAGGGAACAAAAAACCCAAGCACCTCTTCACCAGCAATCAGCACCTTGATCAACATAGATTAACTCCTGGATTAACATCAGATCAAAAATCACGTAAACAATACCCCAATCAAGAAACTGCCTAAGAAGCCAACAGCAAACAGCTCAACCAAAGAATCTCTAAGACCACTCCCACCAACACTGACAGGGCAAGTCATTAGAATATAAACTGACAGCAAACCGCACTCCTTACTACAGGTAGTGCTGATGATGTTACCTAATTTCAGTAATGAAACATCTGCAAGACAACAAGCAAGCTCAGAGAGCCTGAAGGACCCACACCGAACTATTAAGTCTAAGATTAACTGCAATTTATTTTGTCCTTAAATTCTGCACTATTTCTGCTTCCACCTGAATGACTGGCTTCAAGAAACCCAGTATACTATTATAGAAAAAGTTCAATAACTAATTTTAATTAAATTTTGCCCAATTTCACATGGCTTTGTGTGACTTTGAAGAAAGCACTAGCTTTGTTTAGCTTATAGGCTACTCTGATGATAAAATCAGATACAGTGTTCACTGCAGGTATGAGATTTATCACGTTTTGGGGGAATGAAATACTGTACAGTAAACCAATATTTAACAGTACCATTTTCATATATTAACATCCCCATATAAAAATGGCTTCAAAACACTGGTTATTCATCTCACTGGTCATATCTTTTTGGAGACCACTCCCATGGCTTTTGGGGTTGGATGTAGCCATGAGGCTTTAGGTATGCATGTCTGTTTTCATCTATGGTAATTAGCTAAAGCAGGTTTCCCTAACCTGGTGCCTTCCAAATGTATTGAAATATGATATCCAGAACTCCCAGACAGTATGGGCAATTTCTATGGAGAAAGTTGAGCTAAATCTTTAAACCGGTTAATGTTTAGAATTGTTGAGTGCTACAACTAATTCTGACTTAGCATAGAAGTCATTACAGAAATTTTCCAGAATGGTATCTATCCCAAGTACAATATTCCAACAATTCCAGGCAATTAGATCAAATATTTCTATAGCATCCAAACTGACTGGTGGCAGTTTTCAAGGTTTATACACAGGATCCCCAAACAGCTATAGCTCTTTCTCTGAAGGACAGAGAGGATTCTTTCTGAATCAAATATGCTACAAATTAAGCACTGGAGTACAAAAATCTATGCCCGGTTTGAGTGCTAAAATTATAATTATTTGTTCAATTTGCATTTCTATCCAGAGGCTGTTTCCAGTGGTTTCATACATATGTACAAATTTTTACATTAGAATACAGTATGTGATCAAAGTTTACCACTTTAACTGCTATTGTTTTAAAAAGACATCCCATGCAAATTCCAGAAAATTTTCCTAGAACCACATCACCTCCCTTATTTTAATCTTGGAAATCAAATAATCCAATTTTGGAACCTCACAATCAGATTCCTGCCCAGTTTTAAACACAATTTATAAAAGAATTCATTATAATGTATCTATCTCACACAGCAGTTGTGAAACTATAAATATACCAATTTTCCTTCCCACACACCTGAAAGATTCTAGAGTCATCTAATGAGAGCATTATGTATGCACTGTCTTATAGCTAAGAAGTTGGCAACATTCTAGTGGATTTTTTCAATAGCACTATCCAAAATTCAGAATTGATCACAGAAGTAAAACTTTTTACTTCTGTGGATGTTTTGTCAAACGAATGTTTGTTTCAGCAAACATTTCCCCATCTCTCTGAATTTTATGTATTACAATATAAACTGGCTTGATATTAATTATGTTATCAAGCCATATTAAATTAAACATTAAATTATTATACTTCCACAGAGCACCATTGATTTTATTAAAATATCATTTTATGTTAATTTAAGTAATTAATAACAAGGAGTCTGGTGGTATCTTAAAGACCAACAAATTAAGTTTTCCCACATTACAGATCATATATATATATACATACTTAGCTTGCTAGTGTTAAAAGGTCCCACATGGCTCTTTTGCTATTTTTTTTTACTGCAAAAAAAGAAACTAACACAGGAATTATTTTAATGTTTTAATCTTTGAACCTAATCCTAAATTATTTAATATTTTTTAATAGTTTTTAACTTTTGTATGTCTTTGTATTTATTTATGGCTGTTCACCACCCTGAGTCCCTCGGGAGTAGGGCAGTATACAAATATGAAAAATAAATAAACAAACAAATAAATAAATAAATAAATAAATAAATTAACGTTAGCCATTTTTAATAATCCAGTTAAGAAGGAGAAAATCAGATTTCTCTAAGCCAATACATTTGAGAAGGATTAGTTTGGGGACAACTGTAACAAGTAAAACCATTATAAGTGGAAAGAAAACAGAAACAAGTTACGCTATTCCGAGATGTCCTGGAGAAGGAAAGGTAGAATTTAAAATAGTGGTCGGAATGAAAAGAAATTACATTTTTCTGCCTCCCCTTCTTCTGTTTAAACTGCCCTTGGACTGCAAGTTTCTCTAAGGAAGCAGTTCTTCTCCTGCTAACTATAAACACTGATGTTGCCAAGAATAATTTATTGCGCTTTCTTTCCTTTTCCTTCCATCTCCAGGTGACGTAAGTATGCTCATATTTCGCCCTCCCGTTTCTATTTCATCCAACAGTCCCGCAAGGCTCCCTGAATATTAACTAAGATATAACGTGAATGTCAACGGCAATATGATTACCCCAATACGAAAACTAATAATATGCTTCAATTAATGTTTATAATAATTTATTGACTTCTAATTTCGGGAGAGGGACGGAGGTGCGGCCTCTTTCGCTCCCCCAAAGTCCGTCCATCCTCACCTCTTCTCCGCCGCTTTGCTTCCTGGACCAAACCCAGCCGAGGGACAGGTCCCCCTCTCCGGCCTCCCTCCGCCTCACCCGCTGCCTTCTTCTCTCGGCTTCTTCCCGTCCCTTTTGACGGGCTTACGTCACTTCCGCAGAAGGAAACGGGCATTACTGAGCGCATTCGTGCCCGAAGCGTCAAGTTCGAAGCGTAAACAAGGGCAAATGAATGAAGCGCTTGTGCGCATGTGCACCTTAGACGAGTATGGAGTGTATTCGAAGGTAAGGTACATCGGTGCGAGTGCCTTTGATTTCTGGTCCGTTGTTAAGCAGCGGAATGAATGAAGTAAGAAAGGCGCTTAAGTTTCATTCATGTTATCTTTTAATTCATATCATCAGAAATAACAGGTATCCTAGTTCTCTGTCCCCTGCGCCTTTCCTGTAAATAGCTTGGACGGGGGGTTTGACTAGAAGATGACCTACAAAGTCCCTTCCAACTCTTGTTAATATGTATCTGAGCTTTATTAACTTGTTTTCTAAATTTATTTTGGCTGTATAGACCGTCCCTGTCCTAATATTCCTTTTTACTCTTAACTCTTTTCATGTATTCAAATTATGCTTATACTTTTACCTGTTATATATGCTTGACAAATAAATAAATAAAGATAAATAAAATAAAATAAACTATACAAAAAAAAACCCTGAAAAAGGACAGTTTATGATAGTTTGGGACTTCTCAATCGAGGAGCAATAATAAAGATATTAAAAGGATTATTACTGTATGCAGTAAAAAATATCTTTCTGGACCATAGTGTCTGCTCTTAGGAATACACAAATGTGTTGTTTTTTCTGTCTTGTTTTGTTTTACTCTGAGATCAGTTGTAGCCAAACTTCTCCCATTCCTTATGCTTTAAAGTTCCAGTTGGTGCAACGGAAGGACAGAGTTTAATCAGTCCACACCCATCCCAACATGAGAGATTTCTTACCATTATTAAAAATACAGTAGATGAATGGACTCAAATACAGTTATTTAGAAATGAATTTAACAATCCCTGCGCCAAATGTTTATGTCCTTATCCCACACCTATATAAGGTCCAGTTATGCCTGCCTAAATGTTAGTACACATCATTTTTTCATGCTGAGAGCCATCTTTTTAGATGGTTTCCAGTTCCCTATGTAAGCACTGTAGTAGTTCAGATCCATCTAGTTTGGTTAGTTAAGGCATCAGGCTGGAAACCAGGAGACCATGAAACACAAAGCCAGCTGGGTGACCAGTTACTCTCAGCCTAGGAAAGCAGACAAAGGCAAATTACTTCTGAAATCTTGCCAAGAAGATTGCAGGGACTTGTCCAGACAGTTGCCAGAAGTTAAGACTGACTTAGAAGCACACATACAGACACCACACAAATACAAAGTACTTTAGATATAACATTTAGAAGTTATCAAAGTGGTATTCAAAATGTAGAGATATGATTGTTCAAGGCATAATAAAGACAATGCCCATTGTTCAGCAGAGCTAATTCAAGGATTTCATGAAGAGTCTATTGAACAATGCAATCCTGAGGGACACTCTCGTCCAGTGATGACTAACCTTTTTCTCTTTGTGTGCCAAAAGCGCGCAAGCCAGGACCTATAATGCAATGTGTGCGTCCCGTGCTTGCGCACATGCCCCCCGCCCACGCATGCGCACATGACCCCCCACGTGTGCATGCGAGGGGTGGGATTCAAAAATTTTAGCAAACTGCACTATGCCGGGGAGGGCGGCATTTTCACCCTCCCCAGGCTCCGGAGGCTTTGTTTGAGCCTCCAGGAGGGTGGAAACAGTCTCCCCCAGGCTCTGGAGGCCAGAAACGGGCCCTTTTCCACACTTCCAGTACTTCCAGTAGGCCCATTTTTGCCCTCCCCAGGCTGCAGAGGCTTTCCCCAAGCCTCCGGGAGGGTGGAAACGGCCTCCCCCGGGCTCCGGAGGCCAGAAACAGGCCCATATCTGCACTTCCGAGACACACGTGCTGCTCCCACCCACGAGTCCCCTACCCACTGCGCATGTGTGCGCATCTCCCGGATGCACCCCACCCCCTGCGCATCCCAAAATTTAGCTGGCCAGTGGGAGGCGCGCGCACATGCACAGTGGAGCTGAGCTGGGCGACGGCTTGCATGCCCACAGAAAGGGCTCTGCGTGCCAGCTGTGGCACATGTGCCATACATTCGCCATCACAGCTCTAGTCTAAGCCAACTGCCAAGGTTTTATATCATATATGCTGGTTAGATTATCTCCCTGTTCTCATTCCAGCTCACGAAGATTAGAGAAGCAAATTTATTGCTAATTTCATTAGGAAAAGACATTGGGCCCCTCCTGCAACAGTTATGAGAACAGTGGAGGAGTATGATTTGCCATTTATATTCTAGTGGCTTGCCCTGTCAGTGTGGGTGTGGGTGGTCTTGGAGATTCTTTGGTTGGGCCATTCCAGAACACATCTATGAACACCAACTAACAGTCAGATGTCCCAAAGGTACTTTTTCAAGAGGCAACTGGATTTTCTGATTTTTCTTTCAAGACGTTTCACTTCTCATCCAAGAAGCGAAACATCTTAAAAAAAATAAAACAGAAAGTTCTTTAAAAAGCACCTTTGGGACAACCATGACCTGGTTGACTGAGAATCTCCATAGACACTTTAACAGATAAATTTTTATCATATCTTCTGACTGTTAAATGTCTATGGAGATTCTCAGTCATTAATTTCACAACATATAGACTTAATAATTTCAATTGGGAAAATGTAACCATCCTAGATCAAGCCAAGTTCAAAAATGCCAGGGAATTTCTAGAAGCTTGCCGCACAAATTAGTCATCCATAGACATATAGACATTAACAACATCTATAGACTACTACACAAAAGAAACAATCAACCAGCCAAAAAGGGAACAAAAAAACCCCAAGCACCTGTCCATCAGCAATCAGCACCCTGATCAGCATAGATTAATTCAGGGGTGAAATCCAGCAGGTTCTGACAGGTTCTGGAGAACCGGTAGCAGAAATTCTGAGCAGTTCGGAGAACTGACAAATGCCACCTCTGGCTGGCCCCAGAGTGGGGAAGGAATGGGGATTTTGCAGTATCCTTTCCCTGGAGTGGGGTGGGAATGGAGATTTTGCAATATCCTTCCCCTGCCATGCCCACCAAGCCACACCCACAGAGCCGGTAGTAAAAAAAAATTGGATTTCACCACTGGATTAATTCCAGGATTAACATCAGACCAACAATCAAGTAAACAATACCCCAATCAAGAAACTGCCAAAGAAGCCAACAGCAAACAGCTCAACCAAAGAATCTCTTAAGACCACTCCCACCAACACTGATAGGGCAAATCATTTGAATATAAACTGACAGCAAACCACACTCCTTACTACAGGTAGTGCTGATGATGTTACCTAATTTGGGTAATGAAACATCTGCAAGACAACAAGCAAGCTCAGAGAGCCTGAAGGACCTCCCATTTTAACCATGAGCTACAAATATTCTCCTTTATACACTCCCATCTAGTTGCCAGTACAGCTCCTGTCAATTCATTCAAAAATTCAGTCCCGTAACTTAGCCAAAATCCAATTAAATTGGTTCATGAAACCAGGTATTTTTGGAGTTGTGAGGTTATTAAAATATCTTTGCTAAATCATACAAAGATGATTTAGTTCATCTGTTTGGTTTTTAGTTCTTCAGGAAGGTAACAGGACATAATTTTCAATCAATCGGACTAGAGCAGGAAGGGACCTTGGAGGTCTTCTAGTCCAGTCCCCTGCTCAAGCAGGAGACCCTGGCCTATACCATTTCAGATAGATGGCTGTCCAGTAGTCTTTTCTTAAAAACCTCCAGTGATGAAGCACTGACAATTTCTGAAGGCAAGCTGTTCCATTGATTGTCCTCACAGATAGGAAGTTTCTCCTTAATTCCAGGTTGCTTCTCTCCTTGATTACTTTCCATCCATTCATTGTTTCTTGACTTGCCCTCTGGTGCTTTGGAAAATAAATGGACTCCTTTCTCTTTGTGGCAGCCTCTCAAATACTGGAAAACTGCTATCATGTCCACCCTAGTCCTTTTCTCTAGACTAGCCAAACCCAAATCCTGCAACTGTTCTTCATATGTTTTTAGTCTTCAGGCCTTTAATCATCTTAGTTGCTCTTCTTTGCACTTTTTCCAAAGTCTCAACATCTTTTTTGTAATGTGGTAACCAAAACTGGATGCAGTATTCCAGGTGTGGTCTTACTAAGGATTTATAAAGTGGTACTAATGCTTCATGTGATTTTGATTCTATGACTCTGTTTACACAACCAAGGATTATATTAGTATTTTTGGCGGCTCCCACACACTGCTGAGTCATGTTTAAGTGGTTGTCCACTAGGAGTCCAAGGTCTCTCTCTCCGTTACTGTTTTTGAGCCAGGTTTCACCTAATCTGTACTTGTACCTTTGGTTTTTCCTGCCCTTTCAATTTTATCCTCCATACTCCTCCATGCTCCCTATAGTTGCTATCTACAGACAAATAATCATGATGGCTTTATGTTATCTTCAATATGTGGCAACACATTTCAGCAACATTTCTTGCAAACCAGTTGTAGCCTAGACACTTAAGTGTTATATGAACACAGCTGCTATGATTTTTAGCTCTTGGATTAAAGTACCCTGTGTGTCCTGTCTTTACTTAAAGCTTTATGTAAGACTTAGAAGAATTCTGCTTATGGATTTAGGCTGCAGATTTATTTTTCTGAAAGTAAGTCTCCTTAAACCCAAGAGACTTACTTCAGTGTGAACATCTATTGGATGCACTTTAAAAATATACTGAACCCGAATACAGCTGTTGTTAAATACCTCCTGAATGTGTCTCATATGTTTTTAAAGCTAAACTTTTCAATTTAAGAATACAGGTAAGCCTTGCTTAAGTATCACTTGTTCAAAGGTATGGCAGTGCTGAACTAGAATTACAACAGGTCCTCCACTTTACAGCCATGTGTCTCCGTGATTGGCTCACAGTTGCAATGGTCAGTGTCCCACAGTCATGTAACTACTATTTGTGACCTTCACTGCTGGTTTCAGACAAAGTCAGTGGGGAAGCTGGCAGGTTGCAAATGGCAATTGCATGACATTATGCTTAACATTCATGCAGGATTCACTTAACTGCAAGAACTGCTGTTGTAAGTCAACACAATTGCATATATCACATTTTATGACTGCATCGCTTAGTGACATCATTAACCAAGGATTATCTGTTTTGGCTCGCTTAAACAGTTACTTCATGAAGTCCTTCTTCTGGTCTTGGGGAACATCAAGAATATTCTTTACATCTCCCCTCTCTCCTATATACACATTTATGGACATCAAATCACTGGCTGGCTCTTGCCATAACTGTACTGCATGACTTTATTCTTCCAATTCTGTCCCAAGAATGTTGGCTTTAAAAAAAAATGTAGTACCAGGCAGATTATTTTAATTCCAGCTCTGTGTTTATCACTTTGTCAGATTTAAAAAGATCACTGCAAATTAAGATTTATTTATTTTATTTATTTATTTGTTTCCATTTCTATACTGCCCTTCTCCAAATAGGACTCAGGGCGGTGAACAGCCAAAGTAAAAAACAGAACATACGACGAAAGATTAGGTAGTGAGATAATTTATTGCACAATACTGACACAACATATTTCAATACAGTTTACACATGAGGAGTTTGGGGGGGAATCACATTTTGTTTTAGCGTTGTTTGCCATTTTGACATAAAGAGCAACATCCACATTCCAATTACATTTCACTCATTTTTCTTCCAGATGGCATTTTGGCTGCAATTTTATATACATGTATTGAAACCCGCATTTATATATAGGACTGCACCAGGGGTGAAATGCTCCCGGATCGGACCGGATCGCCCAATCTGGTAGCGATTTTTCCCTATGGTTCGGCGATCCAGTAGTGATCGCTGCCCGGGTGTCATTACAGGTTTTGCGCATGCGCAGGGGTGTACGTGCATGTGACGCGCACGCATGTGGGGCCTGTGCTTCCAAACCGGTAAGGAAGGTAAGTAGATTTCATCCCTGGACTGTACAAAAAGATCTTAAGGTACAAACGCATCTGACTAAAATGATTTAAGTGTCTAAAGAATAATCATAACAGAAATTACAAAATTGGTGTAATACATTAAGAATTACACATTATTTATGTAAAGCATTTATATCCAGATTATATTTTTATGCACGTTAATTTATTTGTATTGAAAGGCAGAGTGAGGAGAGGCTTTAAATTCACAAATTAACGTAGTTGTAGGAAAATAATAATTCTGTGTTTTCAAAAGTAAGCGTTCTACAGTGTTGATTCTGTGCTTTTAGGTTTGCAGCCTAAATAATTTCTGAGGAACACGTTTTTCTGAATAATTCCTAATTGTAGCAATGTACAGCATCCCATCTCTAAACACTGCATTATTTGTGGTACCAGTAATTTTAATAAGTATAGTAAGATTCTTGACAAATTTTAGATTTCTACATTGGCCAGCAGCTACCTAGGGTTGTTACACCAACTACCTGGGTGGCCCGATACATCAGAAGATCATTAATCTCCCAGCAAACTGATTCTAGGCAAAAGATAGGTAGCTAGCATGCTAATCCCTAACCATAAGCCACATAGGTCTCATGTATTTGCTACTTGTGCTGTTGCTGGTACCCTGTTGAATCTCTGCTCAACAACTATGCACTGCATAGGAGCCCTTGCAATTAGCAACTGGCAGTCACCCAAAGTAACAAACAATAAAAATGTCAAGAAAGAAAAACCTGATGGGAATACGTATGTTTGATGGGGACTCATCAAATATTTGATGAACATCAGGATTCAAGAAAAGCAGATTTTTCCAAGGTTTAATTATTCCTTTTTCTGAAAATTCTTCAGCCACTATATTTTCTTCCACCATGGTTCTCTGAAAGGATTCTTCCACCATCTGTCTTCTATACACTACTAAAATTCTCCTGTTTGTGGCTTTCAGTTAAGACCAAATGGTACATTATACCAGAATAATTTTTGAATAAAGATATCTCAAATCTGCTAAATTAAGGGGTGTATAAAATATGTGGGCCCTATTACTCCTGTGGAATTGAAATTTACCCATTGTTTATACCTGTCAGGTGAAAGCAATTGGAATCACCTGTGAATAGGCCCAAGTAGTTTATTGTTGATCACCTATATTACAAGAATCTCGCCAAACTGTCTTCTTTCCCTTGGGAAATAGCAACTACAGACCTAAAGGTTTGACTTCAGACATTTCCTTCTCCAGATTCTAAATTGAAATGTCTCCTCACTCCCCTTAGAGGGGGCCCTCCAATGGTTCCACCACATTACCAATCTTCGTTCCAAATTTCTGGCTGTTGTAGCATCCATGCAGTCATATCATGTACTCTTGAGATAATGATGGTGGTGGGAACATCCAATATGGGGATAAAATAAATATGGTCAGCCTAATTATGCCATGCGGAAAGAAAGGGGGGATATTACTGTCAAAAGATGATGCCCAAATATCAGGAAACAGCAAAGGAGGAGAACACAAATCAGATGGGGAAATTTACTGTTCATTCTGGTTACATCAGAGTGCACTACCTTTCTCTCAAAAGATGACCCAACAGTTAATAGGTTGTCTAATAGATCTCCAAAAGGATGGCAACTATTGGTCCAGTTGAATACCATAAGAACAATGTGAGACTTTCTTGTTTCAATCAAAAAGAAAGTGAGTATATGTTGCTAGCTCATCCATCTTAATTTGGGTCAACCTAATATATCTTACTTTTACTGAAATTATACATTCTGCTAAGCCACAGTTTAACTATCACCTTTGAGTAAACTGTGATTGGCTGAATTAGTGCAACGCACTAATCCAAAACAGTAGTTTACAAACCACAGTAACTGAATCCACACAATCAACCAAATTCAACAAATCACACTAGCTCAGCAGTTGAAGAAGCACAACTGAGTACTTTTGGACCAGGAGATCTGAACTATTTTTCATCCCTCCTTTTCACCTAACCCTTATATCAGGACATAAACTAGTGTGATTGGCTCAGGTTCAGAAAATAAATTGCAGACCCATCTCTGCAAGGAAACATGTATTTAAAAACAGGTAAAGCTGTTGGTGTTCAAAAGCAGGCACAATTCATTTTCGTAATCATTTCTTTTCATTTTTTATGAAGAAATGCAATCTAGATAGCTTGAAGAAACCATGACCATTTCAACAGATGAAATTATCATTCCTTAGCAGGAAGATGGAAATAAATTAATTTTCAACAGATCTATACATACCCCAGCACAGAATTATAGTTAAAACAGTAACTTTAAACACAGACTTAAGGAATTTTTCAGCCATTTTCTTCTTTAAAAAAAAATCATCTCAGTATTCAGAGATACTTCATTCTTTTGTTCTAAAGGTTGTAACAATGAAATCATGAGCAGCAGAAATGGAAGTTATACAAAATAAAGTGCTGCTATCTACTTCTGCCACCAGGTGGCTACATCAACAGCCAACTGAGTCTCTGCAAAAAGAATCCTTTGTAATATTTCACCCCAGCAAGACCCATTTTTTGCAAAGCAGTGCAAAGCAAGTGAGGCAGTTGGATAGTGGAGGTCAGCTGTGTATAAGAGCCCTTTAAACACCTCTGCAAGCTGTGTAAGCAACATGATCCTCCATTCTTATCTATGGCTGTGACTATTCTGTAGTATCCACATTAACATGCTTCCTTTTAGGAGGATTTTTCTTTCAAGCAAGAAGCATAGGGCAAATTCCAGTGAGCTCCACAGCTAGCTTTGGAGGACAAATTCTCCTGCAAGATAGACACATTCCAACACATATCAGCAATACCACAGTTCACAGAACCCAGACTGGTAATACACAAACAAGGTTACACACCAGCCTGCTCTCTTTCGTGCTCCTTGTGCTAAGGGCCTACCACCACGTGATCTTGAATTCATAGATTGGGCGCTTGCAGTAGTAATGGTTAATCAAGTGTTTGTCACACACCCCAATACATTGTTGGTCCACTGTGATGCCCCTGTCAGAAAGGTCCGTCACAATGCAATGGAGGAGATCGTACACATCTGCCACGGCTTCCCATGGCCCAAAGGACACATCCACCTCACAATGGTGCTCAAAAAGCTTGGCCTCCCCTTCACTCCTCTCAAAACGGAGGGAGTTGAAAAGTGGGCACTCGTAGGGCGTGATGGGCATCTCTTCTTTGAAGACGCAGATCTTTAGCTTAGCAAATCGAGCTTTCCTTTGCATTGCCCGCAGCTTAGCTATTTCAATGATTCGCTCTAGATGCTCTAAAAAGCAAAAGAGAAACAATGACTGAAATATGGTGAGAACGCCTTTCCAAACAAAACCCTCTTGCAACTGGTAGTGGTGAGAAACAAGATAATTATATAGTTAAACCACTGTCTTGATTTTTAAATTAACACCTCATCTAAATCCTTAGCACATCTTGCCAACATACATATAATTTAAAATGGAGTTTGCTGCATTTAGTAACTCATCTCTTCCTTGTGTCTCATTTAAAGTGCTATCCACCTATCCTTGAGCCCACGAGGAACTGTTGGCATAAGCCAGGGGTGTCAAACTGGATTTCTTTGAGGGCCAGATCAGCATTGTAGTTGTTCTCTGGGCTGGCTGGAGGGAAAGATGGGGCAGACGCCTCCTGCAGCACCCTGCCCGCCAAAATGAGGCGCAAGAGCCTCCTGCAGAACCCTGCTGGCCAAAATGGGGTGCCCCTATGCCCCGTTTTCACTAGCAGAGGAGCCATGAGCTGGTCCTTTACTATTTTCCAGGCTGGCCCCACAGGTCAGATCTAAGCATCCCACGGGCCAAATCCGGTCCGCGGGCATTGAGTTTGACATTCCTGGCATAAGCCTTGCTGCCAACACCAATCCCTATCCTGCCGCAAGTGTGCTATTACCAAATAGTGATATCCTTATTGACTGTGTACAGCCCAGATTAAGGCAAGGGACTCAATTGTTTCCCTTCCCTCTATCCAAAAGTCAACTACCTCTTTAAAATGGGCTGGAATAGGAAAAGTGGTGAGCCTTGATGGATGATGAGTAACAACGCATCTCACCTCCCCACCCCCACCCCACCTGTAATTGGATTTTAATGTTTGGTTTTATCTTATTTGTGTCTGAGAGTGTGTGTATAGAATAGATAATTAATCAATGGGGTAGCATTTGTTTATTTGATAGCCACCCGTCTCACCAAATGACTATGGGTGGCTCATAATTCAAAATATGTTACAATTAAAATCTTAAAAACATTTTAAAATAATAAAAACAATACAATACAAAACAGTAAACAGTAAACAAAACATTAAAACATCTAATTCAAAGTACACACAAAGCAACTCCATTATTGGAGGTTTTCAAAAATAGACTGGACAGCCATTTGACTGGGACAATCTAAGATTGCTGCCTTGAGTAGGGATTTAGACTAGGCAACCTGAGATTCCTTCTAGTCTTATGATCCTGGACTAAGTTACTTTAGTGTTGGGAAGGCTGCAAAGCAAAGCAGGAAGGAGTGTTGCCAATCTATCACACAACTCCTTCCTCCATATCCAACCTCCAATATTTTTAAACATGGATTGAGCTTTCTTGCAAAACAACTTTAAACCTGTGTTTAAAAATAGCCTCTGCTAACAGTTAACAAAGATGCAGGCGGGTTGCCCTGTGCAGTAGGTGTTCGACCACAGCATGCAACATTGTGCACACTCTCAACTATTAGGAGGTACACAAAAGTGTGCAGTGTGGTGAATGGAAAACTATAACTGCATCATACAGCAAACCTCCATAACATGTCAGCTGCTTTGAAGGTTGATTTTTTTAAATATTTTTTAATATTGATTTTTAAAAAAACATCTTTTATGGCAGTAAACATCTAAAACTTGATTAAACTGCACATGATAGGCTATGAAGTGGCAGTGTGAAAGCCAGCTTGTATCCCTATCCCTATTTTATGCACTGTCACTACGAGTAGCAGCCAGCTGTCATTCAACCAATCCAAGTGTCGGGACCAAGATCGACCCAGAGCCTACCAAGCTAAAGGGGAAAGCCTAATTTGAAAGAATTGAAATTGTACTGCCTATTAGTCCACCCAGATAAATCAGACAGGAAACATGAATAGGTGAGCTAATTTTACTTTATTATGAGGTAACATGAACAGAATCTTGCATGTCTGAAGGTATAAAGCTTCCTTGTCTGATCAATTAGGCCGGGTCCTTCTAACGTTTCTTCCTCTGACCCATTAAGCCAGTGGGGGCTCCTCCCTCTCTGGTGTGAAATTTCCTAGGCAGCATCTCTTCCCCGCATCACTTGAGATCATTCTCATACTATTACACTGCCAAAAGCAGAATGGTCCTTGGGGGACAGTGCCCTGGAATTGGAAGACGTAGATCTTCTCCAATCTAAAGAGAACCAACCCAATAGTTGCTGGGTTGATTCTACGCCCTACACTCATTTGACAGAACAATTACTTAAACATATCAGTTTGGACAATAAAGGTACTATGGCTTGTTGCCTGCTTTAACGGGAATATACTACTTTAAAACTAAAAGAGCTTTAAGCTGTTTTAAGGTATGGCTTTGGGATCAGATGAAACCAGAATTGTGACACTGCAGGAAAGCAAAGGGTATATTTGAGATATGTACCCTGATTAAATACAAGAAGGGAAAGTCCCTAAATTCACTAAAATGAGCAAGAACCAGAGAAGAGATAAAATAAAATGAGGTGTAAGAAACTAGCCCAACATTTATTATTTGTTAGTTTTTCATTTCTGATCTTCTAAAATGATGACTTGGCAGAAGGCAATAAACCACCACAATTGCTACACAATTCTCATTTTACCTTTGTAATAGGGCATTAAGCCCAGAAAAGCCTGCCGGACTTTCTCTCCTTTCAGGGGCTGGAGCTCTTCTAGACTGTCTAGCAATGGTCCTATGGAATAATACTGAGCTTCCTTGTAAACAGACCTCACTCTTTCTCTTGGAGGCAAGTCACCAGATCGTAGAAAATTAAGCACATCACTAAAAACAAAAAAGAAACAAACAGAACTGCTGAAATAGTGGCTACCTCTTCTCTTGTGAGAGATGTTATTGAATGTAGTGATTTTTTATTATTAGTTACTGTATTTTTCAGACTATAAGACGCACCAAGATTTCGAAGAGGTAAGAAAAAAAAGGTTTTTGCCCTCCCCCAGTTCCCAGGAGCACTCTGCAGGCTTCCTAAACCCTCTGCGCACCCTGTTTTTGCAAAAAACGAGCCCGTTTTTTGCAAAAATGGGACGAGTGGGGTGGGGCTTTGGGAGGCCAAAAATGGCTATATTTGGTGTATAAGACGCACCAACATTTCCACCCTCTTTTAGGGGGGAAAAAGTGCGTCTTATACTCTGAAAAATACGGTAAATATTTTAAAAGTAATTAAAAACTCATCAAGTAGCACATTTTCATTTAAAGTTCTTAAAAACATAGATTGCAAGCACCATTTTTAAGGGCTATTTCCTCTTCACTTGTGCACAGGAAAAAGCACCTATGATGAAGCTTGGGGTCAAGTATGTATGAACTACTTAAAGATAGAAAATGCAATACATTATTCAGGTAACTAAGAACTATAAAGACAGTTTCCTGAGAATAAATTGCATTGAAAGTTGCAGCCTAACATACTGAATAAATAACCTGAACTGAAACTACAGACAACTGGCAATATTAAGGAGCAAAAAATGGATAAGTGAAAATGTATCTAAAACACTACTTTCTAAAACACAGTGCCTGTTGCAACATGGATGTTACTTAATCATGCATCTAAAACATTGTTTTCTAAAACAGAGTAGGGTAGCTGTTGCAACCTGGATGTTACTCAAGGAAGTAGCAATCCTCATCATTCTACATATTTTCTGTTACACCTCACTCTGAAGACAATATGACTGCAAAGGAAGAAGAGCTATAAGGACAGAATACAAAATTAACCTACTGGTTCAAGTACTTTGTGAAAAAAAAATAGCACATCGTCAAATATTATGTACCCAAAATATGTTCCATCTCTGTCAATAAAATATCTGCCCTCAGCATCTGTTGGGATGTAATGCCGGCCACTGAACATGGCTGACAACATGGTGTCTTCATGACGTTTCAGTGTTGACAGCCTGGTCATGAAATGGGTGCCTCCAACGTTTAGTGGAACTACTTCAGGGAACTGGAAATAATAAATATTATTGATAATTAGACATGGCATGGAGAAAATAGAAATGTGTTTTCATTCTCACATAATACCAGAATTTGGATCACTTAATGAACTACAGGTAGTCCTGAACTTATAAGAGTTTGTTTAATGACCATTCAAAGTTACAATGGACGCTGAAAAAAATGACTTATGACCGTTTTTCCCATGACCGTTGCGGCATCACCACGGTCACATGATCAAAATTCAGACCCTTGGCAATTGACTGATATTTATGACTGTTGCAGTTTCCCAGGGTCATGTGGTCACATTTTGCAACCTTCTGATAAGCAAAGTCAATGGGGAAACCAGTTTCATTTTACAACCATGCTACTGACTTAACAACTGCACTGATTCACTTAACAAGGTAAAATGTTGGCCCCAAGGTAAAATGATGCAAAATTCAGTTAACAAATGTCTCAGTTAGCAACAGAAATATTGCACTCAATTATGGTCGTAAGTCGAGGAGTACCTGAATAAAACCCTCCAAAAAAAGTGTATCTGATTCCAATGTTTTCTCTTAGACAACAATTGCAGATACTTGCTTATCCATTTGCAGGACATCAAACTTTTCAGTGAGCAGACTCTTTATTTCTTGTAAATTTGGTTTTTTTTCTCTTTTGAAAATAAATGTTGATTTAATATTTATATTTAAATATTACAGATTTCATGACTGGACTACCTTTGGAGGAAGAGTGTTATAGAAATTACTAATAACAACAATTAACAACAGAGGCAAGACTGCAATAAGAAGGTCCTTCTTGGGTGATTTCAAAAAGAATTAGAGACTATTTTAAAGGATTATCAATAGTTACAAGTCAAACAGCTAGATTTCATTTGAGATAATTTGTGGAATGTCTATTTTAATCACACTGCTGGAATAAACATTGTTGGAAACAAAAGATAGGGCGTTCCTAATAAATCCTATTTCTATCACTCTTAGAAGCAAGTAGGCAGGCTGGCTTGAGAAAAAATAGTTGTTTAGGCAACTTGTGCCCAAACCATTTAATAAAATCATCACAATTTTGAATTGTGCTGAAACCAAACTGGTAATTAGTGCAGCTGCGGTACAGTTAATGCAAAAGCAATCATGTGAATGCCTATTACTGCCCACACTGCTGCAATCTGGATAAATGATGTTTCTAGATCACGGGTGTCAAATTCACCGTGTCACGTTGCCGTCACGTGGCATTTCACGGCTTTTTCCATTCGCGGAGCATCCAGCCCATGGGCCACCAGTTTGACACCCCTGTTCTAGATAGTCCTCAAAATAGGCCCTGTATACAGCATTCTGACCCTAAACTGATTTTGTAGCTTTTTGAATTCTTAAATCTTAAATTTGAATTGGTATTCCCACATTTAACCTATTTATTGGATATTCTGTTTTAATTTGTCTTTTAACTTTTGTATTCTCTGTTTCTTATTGTTGTGAGCCGACTGAGTCCTTCGGGAGAAGGGCAGCATATAAATCCAATCAATCAATCCATCAATCAATCAATTCTGCAGTAAAAGCATATTTTAAAAGTGTTTTAACATATGCTTCACCAAGGGTAGGTCTGACATTCCCAAGAAGAACCTAAGCAGGGTAAAAGCATACTGTAATTTGGCACAGCTGCTAACTGAGCATCCAGAGACAAATCAGCCCAGATGTATTCCTAAGTCTATATGAAATGTAAATATTAAGTATGCCACTTAATACCAATTGCTGGGGTTCTATAGAACAGCCCTGTTTCTTGGAGTATTTGGCGACAAAGGGAGGAGGGAGAATGCTGGACTAAAATGATCTAATTCAGATAGCTGCAACATTCAAGTCACCATGAACGTTGAAACTTAACTCATGTAAATCTCTGGGGAGAATACAGGATCAGGGTGTATACAGAAGAGACAGAGAAAGGGAACATACAGAAGATTCAAACACCTTCACTAAGAACGACCAGTATACTCAAGTCAATCTGTCTATCTGCAATAGCAAACTTATCTATGAATTTTAGGAAATTTTCACCCGTTCTGAATACTAAAAAAAACAGATTTGGTATTCACACCTTTTGAACTACCAAGAAAACTGACTAGGTCTGAATACTGGTGTGCTAAAGTTCACACACGCCTCCATCTGTGGTTTTCCTTGGATTCCAAAACCAAGAATATTGTTCAACATGTGGTAGGCCAGCCACTTAGCTAAAATCAACTTCCTTGAAAATTCAGCTTAACTTAGAACACACATTTAGAAGAATTATTCCTACATGCAAAGAGGCAGTGTAGCAAAGTGGTTACACTGCTGGACTGTAAATAAGGAGTTCACTCTAAGCCAGTGTTTCTCAACGTTGGCTGCTGGATGATGCGTGGACTTCAACTCCCAGAATTCCCCAGCCAGCTCTGCTCTAAGCCATAGAAACTCATTTGCTGATTTTGAACCACTTATTTTCTGTCACCTCAGTGGATTATTATTGGGGAAAAATGGAGTGCTATGTAAGCTGCCTGGAGCTTCTGAACAAAAGGCAGGCTAAAAGTCTAATTAAATAAAAATACATACATTTGAAACCTAGTAAATTTGGATAACTTGGAAAATTCTTACTTGTCAAAATATTTAAAAGCCAGCACAAACATTCTAAGGATTTGATTTTAAAATATTGCTTTAGTGGAGTTAATTTATTAATATTCCACTTTTGATCAGAATGAATTATAATAATAGCCCATCAATAAAGTATACTTCTATTTTATTACAATAATTATTTATTCCCTATCACCAAAGGTTCTCTGGCAGTGGTGAAATCTAAAAATTGTTGCTACCTGTTCTGTGGGCATGGCTTGATGGTCATGTGACCGGATGTGCGTGGCCAACTTGATGTCACGTACGTCACTCACTGTTAGAACCAGGAGCTGCACATTCTGAAGCACATTCTGCCCTTCTGAAGCCCCCAACGCTTTAAGTTTCCCACCACCATTTGGCTTGACTGCCCAAGCGAATCTCAGAGCCTTCTCTTGCCCCATTCTCCATCCTGGAGGGCCGCGCAATCCCCCGCACCAATCCTCCATACAAACCACCTGCCCCATTTCTGCAAAGGCAGAGCCCCGCCCCCTTGCAGGGCGATCCAAAGAGGGGAGGGGGATGCTGCAGAAAAGGCCGCCTTCCACCCGTGCCACCTGTGCTGGCTCCACAGGGCTTGGGGCTCCGAAGTAGCCCACTGGATTTCCACCCAGCCACCTGCCTGCTCTCTTTGACCACCGGCGCCACTCCAGGAACTCAGCCCGCGGAGTCCGGCACTCCAGGGGAAGGAGGCTCAGTTGTGCCGCCGCTTGGCAGCAGCGAAGTAGCAGAGTGAGAAGCGCAGATGCCCCCTGCGTGGGGAGAGGGCCAGGCCAGGCTGCGCCACCACAGAACCCACAACGCTTTCCTTTCAGCCTGGGCGGCGGCGCTTTCCCAGGCAAGCCATTGCGGGTAGCCTTTCATCTTGGTGCTCCCTTGCCTGCCGCCATTCTCGCCGCCCTTCCTCCCCACTTGGCTGCAGACATCTGCCTTCCCGAAGCAACCTCCCGAAGCAACCCCGCTGCCTTTCGCTTTCGTTTCACTGTGGGAGAAGGAAGAAAGTGAACAGCGTCAGTGCAGCAGTATTCCGGGAGAGCAGGCAGGACCTGAGGCAGAGGGGAAGGCCAGCAGGTGGCAGGCGGCCAAAGGCCCACGGAAGCCAAGTGCACCAGGCCCAAAAGGCAAGTGAGCCTCGCCATGTCCCTCCGAGGAGTCAAGCACAGTGGTTTCCCTTCCCCCCTCCTGCCGCCAGCATCAGCCTTACCTTCTAGATCCTCCGCCTGCATATTCAGCATGCACAACAGAGCCAGGCTGACGGCGGGTGGCCCTTGGTGGAGATGCAGCCACTGGTCCGGGGCTGAGAGCGGCAGCGCTACCGCGGTGGTGCTCCGGGAGGGCAGGCAGATATCCCGGCCCCAGGGCTGCTGCACGTGCTGGGACAGCGTAGCAGCGGCGTCTCCACCAAGGGCTGCCCGCCCACCCACTGGCTGGGCCAGGCTGGACGCTGACCTCGGAAGGCAAGCGGGCATGGAGGACTGCCGGGAAGGCAGCGTGGAAGGCAGGCAAGCATGGCAGGACTGCAGAGAAGGGAGTAGGCTGCTAGCTCCCTTCCCCACAGCCCTGCCATGCTTGCCTGCCTTCCACGTGGCCTTCCGCTTGCCTGCCTTCGCAAGCTGGCCACCGGGACGCTGGGTAGGCAGCGTGGAAAGCAGGGAAGCATGACAGGACTGCAGGCCGTGGACCAGTTCGGGGGCGTGGCCAGCCAGCGATTGCTACCGGTTCGGCAAACCAGCCCCAATAACCGCTACTGGTAGCATTTCACCCCTGTTCTCTGGGTATTTAAATCAAGCAACTAGCACAAGCTAGCCTGAACACAGAAGAAAAAGAAGTTTGAAAAAGCAATTCATATTCAAAACTTCTCTAGAGAAACTGCACTGTCAACTCCCACAAAGAGAGTATTGCTATGCTAGCACAAACAGAATAATGTATAAGGATACAGCATGTATTAAATCACTCACCTGCTGAGGAAGCAGGGACAGGGAGTGCTCTGCCTGGGTTGCTGTTGGAGTGGCAGGCTCTTGAAAATCATCCTCTGCATCTGAGCTCGACATGGCATCGCCCAGGTGTCCACAAGCTTTGGTCTGCCCCGTGACTACAACCATCCCTCTGGCTCTTGTAACTGGGTCTGCTTGGCAGGCAGCCGTGGCAAGGCTAATGGGAAGTTAAGAGCCATGTTCATTCAAGAGCCTTTATTTAAGGAAATCTAATCAGAATGGACCACTGTGGGGCAGTAGGCACTCAGGGATGCTCCACATTGGCTGTTTACAGGTATCACTGCTATTCTCAGGAAGTGAATCACAATCAGTATAGTTATTGCATCTGCAATTATCTACAAGCTCTGAGGGACATGCCGTGGGAGGGCCCCTATTTGCACAAAAGCACCAGTAAACCTTCCTGTCGGATTTCATAGCCAACCAAATCCCCAGTGGAAATATGCTTCACTGACTGGTTGTTCAACTTGCTTTTAGTGGCAGGACTGTTATTTGCTTTTCCAAATTCAACAATTGGGAATACCTAGTAGCCATTTGGTAATCCCCAAAGCTATCCACCACAGCTGCTCTCAGACGGGGCAGCCTGTTTTGGGGGCCACTCCCCTGCTGAAAGTGGTCCCAAAATCACAATACAGCAAAGGAAATGCTCCTCAGCCCGTTCTTGCAATAATCAGCAATTCACAGAAATCTACTACCATTAAATAGAATTTTACCATTATACACTGTTTGACAGAAATGGTTACCCGGGAAAGGGTGTGTCTGTCATAACACCATGTATAAAAATGTGGGCTGCCAAATTTAAGTAGCTGATTTCTCCAGTAGTGATCAAGAAATAGAAACAAGAAATTAAACGGGAGTGGGGGGGGAACCTGAATTTTTATCCCTATATTTTTATTAGGGATTGGTGATACTGCTTTTAATTAGCGTTTCATTTGTCATTTCAAAGTTCATGACACACAATGGAGCATAACATCTGGACTGCAACCCTGGAGGGAAGGAGTTTGTTCATATGTTTGAAATAAAAAATAAATTAGCTTTACTTTGAAGATGTATTTCTTGGACTAGGAACAATCTATGCTACAGAACACACTTTTTAAATCTCTATTTTTGCTCCTATTCTATAGCATCTAGATATTACATACTTATCCTGAATAGCAACATAAAAGAGAACCTAATCCAACTTTATTCTTACCCTAGAAGCAAGATGGATAGTACCTAAATTGATTAAATTGATGTAAATATAAATATAATAGGTAAAAAATACAGTAAGTATGTACTGTACACACTTTCAGATTTGTCTAAATTTTATAGACCCATAAATGCAAAACACTTCAGCAGCAGAGTCTTGGTACTATATTCTCCCATTTGATATTTGTCACAAAATATTTCTATTTACAATTTTCTATCTTCATCTCATTTTTTTATTTCCACTTTTATATTGTAAATTATAGACATGCATACATCTGACACACCCTTTAATTATGACAAAATATTTGTTCTAAACTGATTTTAAAATTATTTCATCTAATGGATTTCATGACATGAAAAAATGTTCTCCCAATTTGCAAGCCACATACCTATTTGCTTTGTCATATAATTTTTGACTGGTGCTTCATAATTTGTGTAAATTAATAAATCTGTTTGTATAATTTGCAGAGTGGATAGTCATATTAGTAGGAGGAACAGCCAAGTCTTTTGGCATTTCAAACTGTTTTATATTTATTATGACAGCAGCTTTAATGGGCTCAGCCAAGATCCTTTTTTCCTTTTTTGCTCTTACTCAATCTTATTCAATTAGACAGAACAACTTACAGATCTCTTTTCCAATTCACAGAAAGATCTTCATAAATCCATCCTACAATAAGCCCACTCCGATTCTTAATCTTATTGAATTAACCCAAAAGTATTAAGGGATTATTAAGAACTAAAATATAAAGACTGAATTTGTACCACCTTTTTCCATCTGGTAGATCTTCATCCTCTTTTGCTGCTTAATGAAAGGCGACTGCAGATCATAACACCCCTGCTACTTTATCCTTAGGGACTTGAGCACAGGTGGGCCTTTTTATCTTGTTGATGAGAAGAAGCCTAATGCTATTTCTTAGCTGATGCTGCATGAGGTGCAAATTACAATTACTGTAAAGCACAGCTTTCCTGGTAGAATGGCACCCAAGCTAACCATGGGACAAAAAAAGTATCTGAGCTGCAACCTTGCCTTTAGACCAGGCGTGTCCAACTCCAGGCCAATAAATCACATGCAGCCCTGGACAGCTAGCAATGCAACCTCACAAGATCGTAAACTTTTAACATTTATGTGCATTCATATACATTATTATATGCAGTCCGAGATAAGACCTCTTCACTCATTGCGGCTCAGGCAAGGCAAAAGATTGGACACGCCTGCTTTAGACTCAAGTTCGAATTTCATACGAAAGCTAAACAAAAATTAAAAGCAATGCAGCCAAATAAAGACAGTAATATCCTTGACTCCCCCATCCACAGACAGGCCTCAACTTTACTGCTCCTTGTCCACTATTACTGAAGTCCTAATAACAACAGAAACAGCCACCAGCTGGTCTGGCTCCAAGCTAGCCTTCCCCTGCCTGGAGCCCACCAGATTTGGGGCTCTCTACAGCAGCCAACATTCCCTGCCAGCAAAACCAAAGGTCAGGCTGCTTATAGTTGATGAAGCATTGTAATCTGAAATATCTGGAAGTTAAGGTTACAAAAGATCCCACCAAAGGGAAGGGGCTTCCTTTCCCTCCCTCGCCCCTCCGAGTAAATAAAACAAGCTTTGCTGGGCAGAAAGCAGTCAAAAAGCAAAAAGAATGGGCAAAGTTTGGCCCTTGCTAAGGACCACACCCCAAAGGGGAAGCTCTGCCACTTCCACGCTCCCAAAGGGCCCAGAGAGCAACTGGGCTTCTCTTCACCTGCTCCTTTTTTTAAAAAAAATTTTTTTTTGCCCACGCTCCGAAAAGGGGCGGGGCCTCAGGATCACTTAGTGCTCGGGGCGGAGCCAAGTCGCCGTAGGAGCTTCTGCGACTGGCCTCCCATGCGCTCACCTGTTGGGTCTATTTGGCGATGAAAAATGGCGGCGATATTTGCCGCCACCGAAGCTGCTCCTCTTCTTTGCCTCCCGGATGAACTGGAGTGATATTTCGGCGCTCCTCAATCAAAGCCCGGCTCCCCAACCGCTTTTCCTTGCCCCGCAGGCCTTCGCCATCCGGGTACTTTGGGATTGACGAGGACAAGACAAATTATAGGCTACCCAGTGGACGGAGTGAGGCCAAAAAAAGCTCCGCCCCCTTCTCTGCTACATCCTCCAACTGGCTCCAGCCCTTCTCCGTCTCCCATGGCGACGAGATGCAGCAACGGAAGGTCTCCGCTCCGACTCTCGCGCTTCTTCTGGTTGCCAGGGAGACGGAGGCTCACAACGAGCAGCCGAAGTGATGTATGGAGAATTTAACTTGCTCCACCAATAAATAATGAATATGCTTCGTCTCTTGTCGTTTGCTACCTCATATTATCATATCTCCCCCCTTGAAATGAAGTAGAGCAATTATCCTGTGGGAGAAGGGGAGATTAATGTTCCAAGTGATGGGGGGGGGATTCACACAATGCACTTAACTTCAGCAACCCATTTTCTGGGTTTGCACAATACATAGGTTTTTTTTTAAGGGGGGCAATTGCCCAGGGATGATGGTGGCAATCTGTCCACTGAAATGTAATTTAATATTTGAAACTGCATGATTCAGGAAGTAACATAATAGGAAGGGACCTTGGAGGTCTTCTAGTCCAACCCCTTGCTCAAGCAGGAGACCCTATACGATTCCAGGCAAATGGCTGTCCAGTCTCTTCTTAAAAGCCTCCAGTGATGGAGCGCCCACAACTTCTGAAGGCAAGCTGTTCCACTGGTTAATTGTAAGTTCAAAAGTAATGTTCGAAAATATTGCTTCCTAGAAAGAGTAGTGGAGGCCTGGAACCTATTTTCTTTCTTTTTTTTCCGGATTGACAATCACTCTTTATTAAATAGCTACAATAAAAAGTTCAGCTGCTTGACCCACCGGGCTGCTGAAAACTTTTCTGTCTGAACCAATTTCCAGTGGAGATAGTGGGTCAATCATCAGTAATTAAATTTAAATATGGTTGGGATAAACACATATCCATCATCCAACAAAAATATAAAAATAAAAAAACTCAAGGGCAGTTGCAGTGTATCACTTGGTCTTTTTCTGCATTTTCTATGAACATTCGGACATGAACAAGACCTGGATTTTCAAATAGAATGAAGGATTAAAAAATATTTGATGGCAATTAATTTAACTTCTGTTTCAGGAATATTGTTGGAAATACTGTATTGTTAAAAAGAAAATAAACACCTAGAATAAAAAAATTCCTGAAATGGAACAACCATGGATTTCACAAAGGCAACTTTCATTACAACTCACCTCCCTGGAATAAAATGCAGTTGCTCTTGTGGATTGGCAACAGATTAAAAGACAGAAAGCAGTGGAATTAAGTGGATTTTTTTTTCTCAAATGGGAGATACACATAGTAAGATTTCCTCTGCGAAAAGTGATAGTACAATGTTTTTGAACAGTGTATCACTCAAATTTATTATAAATTGTTCAGGGGATACCATTAGAAAGAAATACTGCAAAATAATCTTTCCAAACTGGGTAAATAGGCTTCAAAATGATAAATGCAGTTCAATATGAATAATACAGGTAGTCCTTGACCTACAACTGTTCATTTAGTGACCATTCAAAATTACAATGGCATTGAAAAAAATGACTTATGACTGTTTTTCATGCTTAAGACCATTGTGGCAACCTCCTGGTCACATGATCAAAATTCAGATGCTTGGCAACTGTCTCATGTTTATGATGGTTGCAGTGTCCCAGGAACATGTGATCATCTTTTGTGACTTTCTGACAAGCAGTCAATGGGGAAGCCAGATTCACTTACCATGTTACTAACTTAACAACTGCAGTGATTTACTTAACAACCGTGACAGGAAAGGTCGTGAAATGGGGCAAAACTTGTTAACAATCATCTCACTTAGCAACAGAAATGTTGTGCTCAATTGTGGTCATAGGTCAAGGACTACTATTGTATCTATTGACCCAAAGAATCCACTTCTACATTAAAAGGGAAGGGATGGTAACTGATCATGAATAGATACGACAGCCAAAGAAAGCTGTCAGTAGCATTTTGGATAGTTCAATGAAAATATCAGACCAGATTGTAGCTCTGTAAAAAAAAGAAAATCTAAGCAATTTCCATGCTTGGTATCACTAGGAGAGAACCTGAAAATAGAAATGTGCATAGAATTGAGATAGTATTGGTCACTCTTGTGGATAGATGACCTTTTTTGAAACCTGGATAGAAATCCTGCACCTTTTCTGGTCCTTCTAAATCTTTCAGCCTTATATGGTGCTAATGACAACAGTAGGTCTCTCAACTGACTGCAAGGCCTGGGGATTAGCAACACTATTAGTGCTGAAGGTCATGTATTGAAACTAAATTAACATGGATCAAGCTGTCAGTGGGAAAAAAAGGCCAGGCTTTCACCTTACACCTGAAAACGGAGTCAGAGCTAGATACTTTTCAGACTATAATGAATTCAGTATTAGAAAGGTCACCTTAAAAGAGCGTTCAAACACAGGTAAACAATTTGTTCTCACAGGAAAGCCTCTTTTTTATGTGCCAAACAGATTCAAGAAAAGAGTAAAAAAAGATATTTTGTTCTCCAATTTTATTTTGGAAAGCTTTATTCTGAAATTTGTATAAATTTAATTATTAATACTTTGTTGCTGTTACTATTTTAATGTTAAATAACCATATTTTAAATATTTTCATGAGTTGATTTGGCAGGATAACATTTTAAAAAATATATATTTTTATATAACCTCAAATTGGTTTTTCTCCCCTTTCTCCAAACTGTAAAACATTTTAATTCAGAAATCCAGACTCAAAAAATTGCCACATTTAAAGCTTTTATTTCGAAAAATAAAATACAAAAGGCTGTTGGATTGTAAATCTTCAAGTTCTTTCTCGCGTCTCAGAAACCATTTTTAAATAATTAAAACATAATTTCATAAATCAGCTAAATTGGTAAAAGGGTGTGGTGACAACAGGAACAAGCACCATTTTCCACAAATTAAAAATGATTGCCCAAAGAAGGAAAAACAATACAGAAAGAAGCTGTCTGCTGTATAGTGATCTAATGATGGATGTGAACTACGTGTGGAGAAAAGAGTTCAAAGGAGAAAGAAAGGAATTAACATAGACATTCTGTGCAGTGGTTCATTTCCTGTATTTTGTGAAGGAAAGCAAGGGCTGAACAGGCCATTCCTCATTTTTTCATCCTTGTGAAGCCATGACTGCCAATCATCCCTTTGGAAGATATACACAAAGGAACCAACATGCATCAAAATAGACACACCCTGCAATTCACGCATGAGGACTAATGTGTTAAGTTAGCAGTCTTATGGAAAGCATCTCAAAAGTTAACGTATCTCACATTCTAAATCAATACTGAAGATATACCATTCAGTTTCTTCTGAGGTTTTTAAAACAATTGTGTAAATGGGAATCAATGCAATTTCTAATGCTTGAGATTCAATCTGGCAATGTATCTTCTGTGTATTAGTGTCACAGAGACTAATAGGAGGCATACCACAACTGCACAACTCTCATAACTCCAAAATGTTTTATACAGGAGAAATTCAGACCTGGAATCCTCCCACTTAATGCCTTGTTCCCAGAACCATTCCCTATAAACACCTCCAGCATTTCAGTACAGCCACTCTCAGAAGAAAGATAAGAGGTTTACATGTCATTATGAAATGGGGACATATTCTGAGGAAACAGATCTTTGTAGATTTTGCCATCGTGCTTTCTTTAAAATGACTCCAACATTCCTAGCCAAAATAGAAAACATAAGATTTCAGTACATCTCTTCAGGATAGGGCAATGTCCATTGTACATGTACATTACTTTATATAGTCTCCCAATCTTAGTACAATACACAGTCATATGGAATTTACATATTGCATAATCAGGCCCAATACTGTGTCCAAGGTAAAGAATCTAAACAAAACTTCCATGTGTTCCAAGTCTAAGAATGTGCAAATTAATAATTAATCTATCTCACTGTCCTCAGGGCAGATTTGCACTAACAATGTCTGAATTTTTATTAAATATTATTGCTCTGATTTGGAACAGATTAATTCTTTTTGGCTAATTTCTGAAAGTTTGAAGTGGCTGTGACTGTTGGCTTTTTATTTCTTTTCAGAGCATTAATCTCCCATGTGACCACTAGAGTGAGGCTCTTCTCAGAGGCCATTTTACCTTTATAGCAACTTCCAGGACTGGTCCAGTAGTGGGATTCAAATCCCGTTGCTACCGGTTTGCTTGTGGGTGCACGCCAGGGCCGGATTTTCCTATAGGCTAACTAGGCTTCAGCCTAGGGCCTCAAGATCAAGAGGGGGCCTCAAGATCAAGAGGGGCCTACATTCAAATTGTTAGCAAAATTAAAATTACACTTTCACTATAGGTGAAAGGGCCTCATAAGTGGAATAGCCTAGGGCCTCTTTTCATCTAAATCCGGCCCTGGTGCACGCACTCGCATGCAACGCTTCTGCCGATGCGCAGAGACGTCTGGGCAGGTAGGCAGAGCCTCCCGCCACCATCGCTATCAGTTCACCCGATCCAGGGTAAACCAGTAGCAACCCACCACTGGACTGGTCCTGTTATTTATCCAATTTATATGGCTAGTCTAGAGGATGATGTAAAGCAGAATCAGCCATAGAAGATACCTCCATGTATCCTACTGAGTGGAGAGGATATTTTTACCTCTCCAAAGAAAAACCAAGACTGTCAACCAACTCACATATTTTCCAAAGTTAGCAATATTTTGTTTCTGGGAAAGGAGAAATGCTTTTGTGCTGTTGCAGTTTTCAACCACCCTTTCCCCCTAATGAGCCTGATTGC